GGTCCCAAGGCTTTGGGCCATCCTCCACTGCTTTCCCAGGCCACAAGCAGGGAACTGGGTGGGAAGCGGGGCCACCGGAACATGAACTGGAGTCCATGTGGGATCCTGGACATGCAAGGCGAGGACTTTAGCCACTAGGCTACTGCATTGGGCCCTGGATTGCTTTTTTAACTCACACATTTGTTTCTCACTTTTCAGTAATACCATTAAGTTCATTTTCAGGCATTTCATCAATCTCTTCATTTCTCATTCTAATATTAAGTTCTGTTGTGTTCTTTTGGAGGAGTTATAGTTTCTGGTTTTTGTGTGTTGCTGGGATGCTCCTATTTTTCCCCTCTAGTGGTTTTTATCACTAAACTATTCCTCTTTGACTTGATGGAGTTACTTCTCCTTAAGTGGATATCTGAAATGTGTGTTAGCTCTGGGTAGCATATTCTGCTCTGTGCTCAATGGATGAAAGTCCAGGAGACACCCAAGGGTGTGACGCATCTTTTCTTTTGTCAGTTTAGTGGAATCACTGCCTCTTTTCTTCTCTTTTCAAGGTTATCAGTGCCTGAGTTGTGGCCCGAATTGGCTATAACCCCCTACTAGCACATGAATGGCACAAAAACCTGTGCACTTCTCCGTGCGCCCAGCAACAGAGCTACACTGCACACACTGTCACATAGTCGTCACAGGACTTCCGCAGTCTGTGCACAGGTTTCTCACAGTCACAGGGTGTTGAGGTTCCCTCGGCCCTGTGAGTCAGCCTCACCATGCAACGGCCTGCCCGGCAGCAGCTGTGCCTGAAAGCGTTGCCTTGGTAGCTGTGCTTTTGTACCTGCCTTCTGGGATCCTGGAATGGTGAGGGTTTGTACACATCTGCGGTCCCAGAGGTGTGCGCCACCCCCTGACATCACAGTCAGCGTGGGGCATACTGTTTATCGTTTGAACAAAATGGCTTAGCTGTATGCACCTGTGACTTTAGTTTGTCTCCTGCCTGTGTTTATCTAACACCAGTAAAGGTTCCTGGGAGAATCAAAATGATGGTTTCCTCCCACTGGTCCTGGAGTTTAGCAGGACAGTGGGATAAAGCAGTGTGCCCCCAGCCCGTGGTGACCCACTAGAACCCGTTCCTCACTGAGGCTCCTGTGTGGACCTGCGTTCAGGTGTGAGCCGTGAGCTCCTGTGCCGCCCAGTGCCACCCAGTGTTTGGCTCTCCTTATCAGGATCTGCCCAACGCACAGCATAGTGTGTCTTATTCAGGGTGGTGATGAGCGAAGGCTCACAGCCTGTGGATGATGTCGGGGCATCATCTGATGATTTCTGAGCTCTGTTAGCTTGTGTTTTAGAGCTTTCACTGTTTTTGGTTTATTTTGTTTTGTTTGCCAAAATTTTATCTGTTTCAAAATGCTGTCTTTGCTTCGTTCTTTTCATGTCCCAGCGTAGCCTGAGATAGCTTGGCCACACCTAGTCAGCTCTCTTGGATCTTCAGGATGAGAATTAATGCTACAAATTGTTCCTGTCTTTGGGCAGCTGCTGTTGCTAATGACAGCTCCAGTTAATTTGTATAATGGATATTATTTTTATTTATTATAGAATTAGTATTATCCTGTCACTTAAACACTGAGAGGATACAAGGTTTGATTTCCTAGTAGTTATTACATTTTTTTTCTTGGGCATTCCATGTGGACTTTGATGCTAGGTTGCCAATAAGCTATTTCTAAAATAAACTCTAATTATAAGGCCGCACCCACAGATGGTCTTTATAAATGGAACATGTTTGCTCATTGTGGTGGTGGACTGTGGAAGGGGAAGCACAACTGGATAGTTTGAGAAAGTTAAAATCGGGTAAATCCATAGGTGTGTACCAAGTCAGAATTCATGTGCTATGATGTGTTCCTCATTACTTGAACATAAAATCACTAACACATCCGGGATAAAAAGGGTGATAGCATCCACAAGTCAAGTTACAGGAGGGAGACAGTGCTAACAACCTTGAAGAAAAAGGTATGCATGGGAGAGATACCTTGCTCGCAATGTTTTCGTACTTGCTGATTGATGAGCTACTGAGGGAGGGAGGGGAGTCGGGAATGAGTTCTTGGGTTCAGCTTGTGCAAGTGTTACTTTTGTAGATGATAGCTTATATTACCTGTCAGCCTTATAGGTAATTTTTGTTCAGTTAAACACTGAACAAAAATACATTTTGGAATAAATTTTATGCCATTGTCACAGTGAATTTAAATATTTCAAAATGTTCTAGTCATTCATCTGTTACATCTCAGAAGGATAAACTTCAGTTTATTTATTTCAAAATTGCCTATAGTGCATATACATTGCTCAATTTAAGTTTTTGTAAGTGTTTAATGCATAGGAGGATGGAACATAATGGGTTAAAGATGTTTATTTGTGGAACATGTTTACCATGAAAAGATTTGAAAACTGTTTTCTGTGGTGCTGGTTTTATGTGTCAGATAACTTATTATCAGCCTGCAAATTAAAGCTGTGGAAATGACAGTGGAGACAGTGCTTACTCAGTACATCTGGATAAAATAAATGGCAAGTATGTGGAGACTAAGAAATACAACTTTCAGGAATAACAAAACATAGAACTTAAGTCATGACCATAAAACTAAGATTTTGTGGTCAACATCCTGATTACAAAAATTTTGGTCCCATAAAGTGTGCAACTTAACATTTTGCAGTGTTTCATAAGCAAGTATTTTTTACTTTGGGCACATGTTCAAGTGCTATGCTCCTGGAAGTTAAAACAATAACACAGACTGAAGTTAGGGTAAGCCCTTGTACAAGAGAATTTTTCATAAATCCTTACTTGGTCATCACCACAGGACATAAGTAGTCAAATAACCTCTTAAAAGTATATACTTCTCATTTTTTAGGTGACTCAGTGGTTAAATGATTTATTTGATGTGGTTAATTTCAAAATACCTAGAGTCTCTTGTATATTTCCTAAGTCATTTCCCATTTTATCTATTTTTTTTAAAGATTTATTTTTTTGGAAAGTCAGATATACAGAGAGGAGAGACAGGAAGATCTTCCGTCCGATGATTCACTCCCCAAGTGAGCGCAATGGCCGGTGCTATGCCGATCCGAAGCCAGGATCCAGGAACTTCTTTCCAGGTCCCCAACATGCATGCAGGGTCCCCAGGCTTTGGGCTATCCTTGACTGCTTTCTCAGGCCACAGGCAGAGAGCTGGATGGGAGGTGGAGCTGCCGGGATTAGAATTGGCACCCATATGGGATCCTGGCGCATTGAAGGAGAGGACCTTAACCATTATGCTATCACACCGGGCCTATTTTTTAATCTATGCTTTAAAAAAAGGATAAGGCAAGTCTATGGGTGGAGATAAATTAAAACAAAGAAATCAAAAGTAGCAAAGAATTACAGGTTCATTACAAGTAGAGTATAGCCCTACAGGAAACAAGATTTCTGTCTTAAGAGCTGTTCTTGTGCTACTCACACATGGAAAGGTCCCAGGGGTGAAAGTGAATTGATAAGTAGCCTTTGCATTTGCTACGAACTAAATTTGGCTTTTGAGTCCAGGGTGAGCTTATCTAGACATCTGTACTGCAAGGCTAAATGACCTGCTTCTGCATGAAATTTCTCATGAAAACATGGTGATGGCAATGGGAAAGTAGAGCAGGTAAAGGAAAAGTTCAGCAATGATAGTTGTAAGCAAGCAACGTTTATTAGCTGTGTATATTTCATTATCACCTGTAAGAGAAAACTCAGCTGTCTTCTAAACAATGAGATAAAACTATGACAAAGTCCCAGCCGGTAGCTGCAGGAATGAATATACTAGTTGGACAATATCATTGACAAGACCATTCTTTGTCGGCACTCACACTCAGCAGATATTTGTTGCACTGGATATGGCTCTGGCAATATGAGGTAGGATGGCCATGTGTCAGGCATGCAGAGAAGGATGAGTAAGTATCTTCCAGGAAGTTCCATCATAGTTCTTCTCAACCCAGAGGTGAATGGGGAGACAGTTTTACTCTTATCTCCCAATAAAACACTGGTAAGGAAAGTGAGACTCTTCTGACTTAATGAAAGAGATTAACATACGATATGCAATGGACAGCTGAAGAGAAATTTGGGGTCTGAAGGAAAGGAAAGGTTGGCAGATAGCAACCACACTACCACTGGCTCACTATCAGCTATCGCCAATATTTTTTTCAGTGTTGAAAAGTCATAATTTTTAAAAACAGACTTTGGATGTTTATGCAAGATCTCGCAACTTTTAAGTACTGGTCATGCATTCAAAACATCTTAAAATACTGTGTGACCAACATCATCCAGGGCATCAGTTTGCAACTATTCTTTTATAGTTTATTTAACTTATTAACTTATTTAAGAAATTAGAGTTTTAGTAAATGAACTACTTAAATGTTAAATTAATTTTACTGTAACTTCAACAATAATTGAATTATACACATGTATGATAAAAAATATTTTATTTCATATTTGGAGGAAAACTCAGATGATATAGCTAACAAGGGCTTCAAAGGACAATGTAAGAAAAGGATATATAAAACAGTGTTTCCATAATTTTGTTTTTAAACTGAAAGTTCTGACTTGACAAATGAGTAGCAAGATCTTGATGTTTTTAATTAATAAATATACAAATTTTCCTTGTTTGGAGGATGATTCCTTGTCAAACAAATCGATGCTTGGAAAATATTGAAGAAATAATAATCGACATCACAGGAAATGGGTGTGTCCAGGAAAATTAGAATCAATGGCAAGTAAAATGATTTTTTAAAATCTAAGCTTATATCTATAATAGAGAATAGATTTTTAAACCATTTAGACCCTCAAGAGTATATCTATTTGTAAAAATTGTACTTAATTTAATCTCCTTCAAATACAAGTTTTAAAAACTGGTTAATCTCCCCAGAATTTAAAGTAGTCACAGTAAGCAAGTATTTCTCTTCCGTGCAGGTTGTCCATTATCCGCTCTGATCATTTACCCTTCCAGCCTGGTGCACTTGTTGCCTCACACTTTCAGATTCGAATCCTAAAAGAGACAAAAGGTCTTAGAGGATTAATGTTTCCTGAAAAATTAGATACTCTACATGATATAACTTTTAAATATCGAGAAATTAAAATCAAGTAGAGAACTAGACACGCATCAAGGGAAGGAATGAGAAATACCACGTGCAGTATTGCTATCCTGGTAACTGGCATTGTATGACCAGCATGACATCCAGAAGACTATTAAGACATAGGTGACTTTTCGATGAGACATGTCTTCTATTTTTTGCAGTACTTAGGGGATTTTGGAAAAAATGAAGAATGTACAGCTTATTATTGCTTTCTAGCAAGATTCTTCTGTCTCCCTCTTCTTGGTTAGTAGCCAAACTTGAAGCAAGACAATGTTAGAACCCAACCCACAACCCTGCAGGAGTCCTACAGATGTGTGCTTCAAAAAAGACATGGTATTTCTCTTCCTGTTGCTAGGCATGCTATAATGTTATAATTTGAGTATGAATCTTACCTTACATGTAGATTTTTGTTTATCCTTGAAAAAAGTAGAAAAATTGTTTTTATGTCTGTGCCATATTAGATGCAAAAATAATGTTAGGACGTTAGCAATGCTGTATTTTCCATCTTAGCTGTACTACTTTCAGTGAACGTACTCTTACTCATTCCAGTTTATCTATGTAAAGTGAAAAACTGCACATATTTCATGATAGATTTAGAAACACTGATAATTCGAAGCATATTCTTCCTGTAGTCTGCATTCCTCAACCGCTCATTGTCCTGCCTGATTTCCTGCCCCCTCCACCACCTCCTGTTTTTAAGTGGCTTGGTTTCATTGCACTTCCAGAAACAGAGGAATAACACTCCTTTGGGTAAAGATAGCAGCACAGAGCAAGTAGGAAAAAAAAAAAAGCCTAATGATCCTCAGTATAAAGAAAGGGAGGAAGCAATGATCAGATTCCAGGATGTCAGTCATATTTGGATAGATGACGTTTTTGAACACTGTTACTTGTCTATTTGAGACTGGATTCTTAATGTATAATGGTTTCCAGTTGCATAACACTAATTTCATTCTATTTTTATGGCTGAGAAGTGTTCTACATAGTGTGTATACCATGTTTTCTGTAGTCATCAGTTGGACACATGGGTTGATTCCATATCCCAGCTATTGTGAATTAAGCTGCCACTCTGTCACATGCTGATTTTATTTTGTTTCGCTAAATTCTCAGGAGTGGGATGTCTGGGTCATACGATGGGTCTATTTTCAGGTAACAGAAAAATCAGTACTATATTGCATAATGGCTGCAGTACGTACATTGCCACCCACAGTGGATTGGGTGCCTCTTTCCCCACATCTTCACTCGCAGTCACTGATTTCTGTATGATAATCATTTTCATTGAGGGGAGAGGAAACCTCACTGTAGCTTTTATTTGCATTTCCTTATGGCTAGTGAACCTGAGTATTTTTTTCATATCTCTTTGGGCCATTTCAGTTCAATCCTTTGAAAAACACCTGTTCGTGTCCTTTTCTCTTTTTGTAACTGGATTCTTTTGTTCTTGTTGAGTTTTGGAGTATTGGTAAATCCTGGGTAAGTATTCTTTATCTGTTGCATAGATTACAAATATTTTTCTCAATCTGTTGAAGCTTCTTCACTGGTTGTAATCCCATTTGTTATTTTTACTGTAATTACTTGGGTTTTGGGGGCCTTTCAAGGACAGTTTTTGTCCATGTCTATTTTTTATAGAGTGTTCCCACTGTTTTATTTCAGTAATTTGGTGATATCAGGTCACAGATTTAATCCATAATCCATTTTGGGTAAGCTGTAAAGTAGGGTCTAGTCCCATAGTCGTGTAGAGACCCAATTTTTCCAGCATCATTTATTGGAGAGACTCATCTCTCATGGAACTGATTTTGGTTCACTTGTCACAAATCACTTGTCCATAGATGTGTATGTTACTGGGATTTCTATGCCATCCTGTTGGTCTCTGCATCTGTATTGGCTTTCAACTGCTTCTAATACATCCTGAAGGCTGGTACTGTGATGCCTCCCGCTGTGTTAAGGATTGTTGCAGTGTTATGATTCCATATAGATCTGAGAATGTCATAGGTATTTTGATAGGGATCACATTAAACCCATGAACTTCAGAATACATATCAAGATCTCCTTATTACTGCAATCTCGAAGCATCAGATTTTTCCATTTTTGATGTTCTGTAATTTTTGAGATCCCACACTTGCTTAAATTCATCCCGAGATACTTAGATTTTTGTAGCTGTTGTGAATGTGAGTAATCTTACAAGATCTTTCTCACCCATGGAATTGTTTATGTATACAAAGAATACGGACCTTGATATTTATTTTATTTCTAGCAATTTTGCCAAACTCTTAGGCATCCCGCTAGTCTTAGTAGAACACCTTGTTCATGTTAGCTGCCATCAAAGGGATAGCTTGACTTCCTTATTTCCAATTTGTGTCTTTTTGATTTATTTTTCTCTCCTAATCAGTCTTGCTAAAATGGACTATATTGAATATCAGCTGTGAAAATGGACATCCTTGACTAATTCCTCAACTCTGTGGGAATATCTCCAGCTCTTATCCCATTCAGTATTACGCTAGCTGTGGGTTTTTGTATATTGCCTTGATTGTATTAATGTTCCTTTATACCCAATCTCCTTAAGGTTTTTATCATGAAAGAGGTTGTCTTATCAGATTTTGTACGTGTGCAGATCATTACTTGTCTTTTCACCGTGATAATATACTGAATCGTACTGATTCATTTGCACACAGGAAAGGTCCCTGCATTCCAGGGATAAATCTTACGTAGTCCCAGTGAGTGATCTCTGTCGTGTGTTGTTCGATTAGCTAGGATTTTGTTTAGGATTTTTGGGTCTGCACTGGCTTTATACAATGAATTTGGGACAGTCTCCGCCATTTTAATTGAATCGTTTGAGAAGAACTGGAATTAGTTCTTCTTGAAAAGTTTACTAGACTCCAGCAATAAAACCCATCTGGTCCTGCACTATGAATTATTGCTGAGGAGTCTTTATTTTGGATTCATTCTGTCTTAATTATTGCTCTATTTATATTTTCTTTCATTATTATTCAATTTAGGCAGATTGTACATGATCCAATCTATCCATTTCTTTAAGGTTTTCAAATTTGCTGGCATCTAGCAGTAGTAATTCTTGTTGAGTTTGCATGTCTACAGTGCCCAGTTCATTTCCTTTCAAATCTTTAATTCACTTGTCTTTTCCCCCATTTTTTGGTTAATTGGGCCAATGGTATATTGAATTTTTGTAAAAACAAAACAGCGCTTCAATTCACCGATTTTATATATTTAAAATTTTGTCTGTTCCCTAATTTTGATATTTCTTCATGAATTTGGTTTTTTTTTTAAGTGCTTGGGATGCATTCATGGGTTACTCATTTGATGCTTCTGACTTATTGATGCAGGCACTAATTATTGTGATCTTCCCTATTAACACTTCTCTTGCGGCAGTCCATATGTTTGGATATATAGATCAGGTCACAGACTTAATCGATGTTATGAATTTCATTTCCCATAGTTTTGTTTTTCCTTTTGATTTCTTCTGTGACTCACTATACTTCCAGCAGCAATGCTGTCAAGTTCCCCTGTGTTTTCAGCTGCCAAGCACAATGATATTCAATTCATACATATTTACAACAGTCATTTCTTGTTGAATTGATCCTGAAATTATTGCCTAATGCACTCTTCGCCTCTTGTTTGTGGTAAAGTTTATCTGATATAGAATGATTACACTAGCTCATTTTTCCTTTCATTTTTTGTGAATCTTTGTTAATAGGGTGCATAACAAAGAGAATTTATGCAATTTATTATCAGATTCATTAGCAAGGCAACAACTTGGTCCTACCATTTTTTCAAAACTATTCCCATTGTTTGGAATTAATTTGTATCTGTACTAGATTTTCTACCTTTGCATTCTTTCACTGTGATTATTGTTCTATTTCTGTGTGTAGCATATTCTCAAGCTTCATTTTTAGGACTGGGCAGGTAGTGGCAAATGTTTTCCATTTGTTTTTTGGAAGGTCTTCATTTCATGTCTGAGCTCAAATGAGAGCTTTTGGTATTCTGGGTTGGAAGAATACTATACCCAGAAATGCTCTCCTTGGCCCCAGCGATGGAAAGCACTGCCGTTACCAGAACCAGCTCCCTCTGAGTGCTCCACCTAGTGGCTTGCAGAAGGCTGAGGCTATGTGCTTGTCTCGCAATCCTGGATACAAGGGCTGCCCTGGCCAGACTCAAACAGGTAGGGAACACAGATTTATTTTTCTAACAGAACCTGCTAACCGCATGCCTCCACACCAGGCCAGGTCCACACCAGGGTTGCTGTACTTGACAACCTTGGCCTGTGTCTCACCAGTTGTCCTTCCTGGAAGGTCTAGGCTGCCTCCAAAATGTGGTTTGTGCCTGTTGGTCTGGGTGCTTGGTAGGAAAATGACATGCCAAGTCCCTTTCCCTACTCTGGTTCCTGCCCAGAGTCAGTGTAGTCCATAGGACTACACCAGGTCATGATACCAGAGGCTTTTTTTATCTGCTAGAGACTCTTGCAGTTGTCTATTCTCACCTGTCTGCAGTGGGGATTAAGGATAACAGCCGATGTAGGTGAGCTGCACCTCAGTACTGGCCCACAGAGTTAATTGTAAGCAGTGTTTCCAGGCTCCATCTTGTCTGTCAGAGTTCTGAAAACAGTTTTTCCTTCATCCCAGAGCAGCCTCAGTCAGTGCTACACTCTCCTAGTTAGTCATCTTGGATCCACTAAGGCACTTCAGGCTCCTTTCAATTTTACCCAAGTTTTGTGATCCAGTTCAAATTGCATCTACTCAGTGGGTCTTCTTGTTCGGTTGAAACCTGAAGCCATTCACTTTTTCCTCATGTTTTTCTCAGTATCCATCACTTAGCTAACAAATTCTTCAAATATTATTTGTATCAAACAATTTGACATTTTTAGTGAGCAGTTACTCATTTGCACACAATTTTCCTAGATAATCTTTTTTATACCCTCCTCTTACAGAAAAATAACTCAGTTTTAAGTTTAGTTATTTTTCTAACAAATTACATTATTTTAGAAGGAAATCTGTAATAAAATTAATGCCTTAAATCAATTAAAGGAGACATTTACTTTTTATAGTTACCTAAAAGAACCATTATTGTTAATATAACTATAAAACATATGACGATTAAATAGTTGGTAAACTTTGCTTTTTGAGATCCTCTAAAATAAATGTAATTTTAGACCTGAGGACATGTCCTGATAAACTATGTATTTAGAAGACATGTTCTCACTGGGTGCAGGCATTGAAAAACTCACCAGTGGCCAGCTGATATTTGCAAGGAAAGAAGATGACACAGATGTAGGAATTGGCGGTGGTGGAAAATCTGGCTTTGTAATTAGCTAGTAAGAAGATAAAAAATTTAAACTCAAAGATGACCCTGCCCATGATATTCTAAACATGGAAATGATTCCTTTCATTTAGATGCACACATACACTTCACATGTCTGCTGACACTAAATTTCTATGTGAAGAAGAGGATTATTGTGGACTAACTGTTCTGCCCTGTGAAAATTCATGTGCTGAAGCCCTAATCCCCAGTGATTTTGCAGATACTCACTTGTTGAAGGAGGAGCTCTCAGGATAGGATTAACCCATCATAAAGAGAAGCACTCTCTCATGGAAGACACACCAAGAAAGCAGCTGTTGATAAACGATGAAGCTGCTCTCTTTGCATCTGCCAGTCTCCTGAATTTGAAATTCCAGGTGTCCAGAATAGTGAGAAATAACTGTTGATGGTTTAAGCCTTCGATTTCATGGAAATTGTTCATCAGCCTGAGCTGTCTAAAACAGTGTTACTCAGTTTCTTTTTCCTAAATAACAGCAGCTTCCCAGGTACGGAGTGGACAGAGAAGAGACATGTGGTCTTAGGGCTTGCATTTTCAAAATATCTTTAGAAGACTTAGTATTTAATGATATGCATGTCTCAGCATTTTTTTTCTAAAGAAATGATTGTACAGCATGTGTTCTCTCTAACTAGCATTTCCTTGAACATGAACTTGGGACATAGAATTTGTCAACTCACAAAAGAAACTGGAGGCTCATTGCAGTCTGCGGCTTGATCAGACACATGGAGCTTCATCTGACTCATCTAAAAACAAGAAACATCATTGCTTAATGCAGCGATCAGTTGCCTAAATGCAGCTTCCAAATAGGTACTTTCTCAAAGTTTGGAACTGATACCAAGAGGCCAGACAATAAATTGCTTGACTCAACTAGTCAATTGCTCTAGAGTAATAGCCCTGTAGAATGAACTCTTGTCTCCATCAGAGGTATTACTACCAACATTTTCATTAACACCTTTAACTAAAATATTTAGTCTGACAAATTTTAGAATATAAAGGTGATACACATTGCTACACACAGATAGCATTTTATCTGTAGGGAAATTTACTTAATGAGGGATGAAGAGTTAGAATTACATGTAGAGACTGAAGACCCACATCTGTATTGCTCCTTATTTTGTTTTCCTAGATTTATTTATTTCTGAAAATCAGAAGATCAATTTTCCATCTGTCCACTGGTTCACTCTCCAGAAAACCAAAAATAAAAGCCTCTTGCAGGTCTCCCATGTGGATAACAGGTGCCCATGAACATGGGCCACCTGCTGCTGCTTTCCCAGGCCATTACCATGGAGCAGCTGGGGCACATATAGCATGGCGGCACCACAGCCAGCAGTCACACCCACTATGCAACAATGCTGGATCATGTTTTCTTTGTTATTTTGTATTCCATGAATCCCAGGAAAGTAGCCTCTATATATTTTTGGCAATCTTCTATTTCACAGGAAGGAAATGATATCTTTAGAGCCAGTCATCCCTACTATATCTAAAGCAAATGGAGAAATTTCAAGCTCCACAGCATATGAGTACAAAATTTTAAACTGGTACTGCAGCAAATACAGGTCAAAGTATAACTCACCTCTTGAGGTCGAACAGCCTTTGCCATTTGTGGTTTCCTCTTCTGCTTGGGCGGCTTACTGCCAGTGGTAGGTAGTGGCCTGTCAGTTAAAATGTCACATTTAGCAGTTCCTCTAGCATGATCGGAAAATGCAACAGATGATGGCCAATTTCCTTTCCCCTTACAACGTCCTTAGCCACTGACTGAAATTGCTTGGGCCTCAACAGCTTCTTCCATTGTTCTGGAATTCATAATCTACACATATTCATGCTCCTGTTTATTAAAAACTGGATGAATAAGGGAATTTTTAAAGGTGCTAAAATGATGTGTTCAAGACCATGATTTTAAGTCAGATCGAGGATTAAGGCTGTCTGTCATTTTCTGGGGCAGTAAACATATTTGTGACCCTCACTTATTCTGTTTGTTCCCTAACTTAACAGATTAAAGCGTGATTTAAATGAACCCTTAATCTTGTAAAGTGCTTCATAAGTTACTGTGATTTATGCTTATGAAGACAAGATGATACAGAAAAGTTTAGTATGATGCTTATCGCACAGCTCAATAAATGATATTGTTTTGTGATAATAAAGTAAAATTACTTATTAGTCACCTTACTTGTAACTAATTAACAGCAGACAAAAAAATTTCATGTCTTACCCTTGGGTTCAAAAATAATGTATGTGTATGTACTTCAATACTTAAAGTGAAGGCCGTGTCTCTGAATTTGAGGTAAAATATGGGCCAGGGAGTCCCCAGAGCACAGGAAAGGCTTACTTCTGCACCTTCTTTCGTTTTCCTCGGGCACTTTGGTGTCGGATTACAATAGCAACCACCACGAATATGACTGCCAGTGGGAACAGCACCCCAATGATGATGGAGAAGTCTGCAACAAAAAGAACGTAGTAAACAAATGAGTAAAGGAAAAATAGTCTTGATTCATCTAACAATTACTTTAAAATCCTATTTGGAGTGTGTGTGTGAAAATAAAGCTATGGATCCGCTGAGGTTAAAAATTATTTGTTACAAGCATATGTATTCCCAAAAGGCTAAATTTTCATGAAACCAAAAATGTCAGGAAAAATACAATATAATGAGAGACTCAAAAAGAAATTTAAACCCTGGTGCTGGTAAGTACTATAAAATTTGAGTATGCAACATAAGACATTCAACACAGTTTGCTGTGAAATGAACTGTTACTTCCATTTTGCATTGTATAGAAGGCATAACTCAGAAAAGGGAAGCAAAAAGGATTTAAATTGCTAAGTATAGAGAAGAATTTTTTTCTGAAATAAAATGTTTAGATATTCAGAATATAGAGAATTTAGACAAGTTAGTTAGACCTTGTACAAAATGTCAAAAATCATTGTACAAAACCAGTTGAATTTATATTCTATGAAACTTTTTCAATAAATGATTGAGTATATAATAAAAATCAAATTCCTAGAAACAATTGTGGCCCTATATACATTTCTAAAACAAATTCAAGGAGACTGAGTAAATGAAAAGCTGTTTTATGTTCATAAATTAAAAATGAAAAATTTACATGTGTTCAATTTGCCTCAGATTTGTTTATACATGTAATTTATCCCTAATTAAACTCCTAATGGGAATTATCTGCTGTAGAATCTGATAAGACATGCAAATAGTAAAGGGTAATAGCCAAAGACATCCTCAAGAGGAACAAGCTTAAACAAAAATATTACAAAATTTGCATTACGTGTAGTAAAGCAAAGTATTAAAATAGTGCTAGGAGCCAGTGTTGTGGCACAGTGGTGTACGCTGCTATGCTGGACACCAGGATTCCTCGTCATCGTGCAGTTGGAAATCCTTGCTACACTACTTCCTCCTCCCCTCCCAGCCACACTGAACAGCCAGGTGGAATTCTGTCTCCTGACTTCCACAGGGTCTGCTGTTATGGTTGGTTACCATTTCATTAGTGAACCCCAGTGGGGGGAAAAAAATCTCCTTGCCACTCCTTTCCTGTCGCTCAAATAAATCTTAAACATTAGGCTAGCACAAATACAAAATAATAGGTATCTCCAAGACACATGGGGATAGTTGCTTTTTGAAGAAAGCATCACAAAAGAGAATGATCCAGGAGAATTATGCATTCTTCCACAATGAAAATGTAATTGTACCCTCATATCATCTACAAAGCCATTCCGATATTATAGAATAAAATTAGAAATGGTAATACAAGAATCCTAGAGGATAATGCACAGGTATGGGCTCACAACTTAGTAACCTCCAAGAAAAATGATTAGTAAGTCGGTTGCTTTATAATGAAAATCTGTCAATCACATGACACAGTCAGGAATATGAAAAGAGAACAGGATGAGGGAAGAAATTTGCATAAATGTAACCGAGAAAAGCTAATATGAGCAGATCAAGAACATTAACACCTAAAAAGATAAATGGAAAGTAGACAACCTTACAGAACATAAAAATGCTTGAACTAATACTTCAAGAAAGAGAAAATCCAAATAACATAAAAAGGAATACATTGCATTTTATTGTTAGTTATATAGAAATGTAGATTTATAAACCTTAATGTACCATCACTGCTAAACTGCCAGAACGGCTTGATTTGGTAAGTCTACTAATTCAAAATGGTATAGCAGTTGGAAACCATGGGTGTTTAATTCACTGCTGCTGAAAGTATGAATTTGTACAATCTCTTTGAAGTAATGATTTAGTAAAGTAAAATATGCTGGAATATGATAGTTATAATAGTCTTAAAACAGCCATAAAAGCAGTAAAAAACAAAGGTCATATATTTATAAATTATGCTAATTATATATACAATATCGTAGCATGCCTTGCACGATAAAATATGTGCTACAAAAATTAACTAACTCCTGCCGCATGCTAGAACACTGAAGTCATTCAAATAGAGGGGAGGAAGAGTTTCAATCATCTTAAATACATCAAGTTCAAAAATAGAAAACCCGAAGCATACTGTTCAGGAATATCTTTAAAAAAAGAACACTGTAAAGAAAATAGCCAATGTGTTCTAATGATTTTGTTATCAGTTGGCTTTTAGAAGGAAGAGGTTAGCACTGGAAAGGGGCTGGAGGGCGGGGGGAAGGTCTGAAGGTGTGTGCTGTGGGAAAGGTGTGTTTGGGGCATTTCATGGGTGTTTGGGGCATTTCATGGGTGCTTATTTTAGGATAATAATTGGGTTTTCCTGACTGTCTTCCTGTGTCCTTTTTCACACTCAAAATATGATATTAAAGTAAGCCCAGTTGCCGATAGTTGTGTGTGACAAAACAAAGTAGCATTCTTAATTTGATTCAAATCAAGGGATTCTTGGTATTGGAAGCTCATATCTTGGATTTAATATCTAAAACACAGAAATTACAACAGGAAAGAAGAGGCAATAGGGTCTTACATAATACAAAAGAAAAGCTTGGAAGGAGAGAGCAATTTTTTCATGCTAGATGTGTCATTGTTACCTACGGGAGACCATGGAGGAGTCATCGCAGTCGGGAGGCGCCCATCCTTCCATACACTGACACTGGAGCTCGTGGTCACACACCTAGGGGAGCATTGGTCTTGTTAGTTTCCCTTAGATTGGCCCCAAAGGTCAAGGCTCTGTTCCTTCACACTATATTGCATTCTGACAGAGGGATAACTGCCAGTCTCCAGGCTTCCACCTGTCTCTGTGATGTCACTCTTGGTACTCGGTAGAAATTTATTACTGAGCAGTGTTACTGAGGATCTAGACCAACTTATTTCTGAATATTCTAATGTATATTAGAAATTATGTATTATATACATTACATATATAATTGTAATGCTGAAAATATTAGTTTAGCTTTACAAAATTGATCTAAGAGAAGACTCTGCAAACTTGCAGCAATGTATTTAGAGAACTCACAGCGTGTCCTTTGCACTTGGCGGAGCAATTGGTGGATTTGTAGGCTCTCTCAACATCCATGCATTCTGCATTTATGCAGACCTGAAAGTAATGTGGCAAATACACACTGACATTAGTAGGCGGTAACTTCAGTCCTACCACTGACGCACTGCAGGTTCTCCCTCTTTGTCAGGACTGCTGTTGTGAAACTCACCTTTTTAGTAGGGGAAGTCTCAATGTATTTTTTAAAGGAAGATGGGTTCTACATCATTTTGGTAATAAACTTAGCAAGCCAGCTTTAATGAAGATTTCCGTTACCGCGTAAGTCACTGGCTCCAGTACTTGTGTCCCTGCCATCTTCACCGAAGACCTCAATGGCGATTCGGATTCCTGGCTTCAGCTTAGCCCAGCGCTGGCTGTTGGGGCCACTTTGGGAGTGAACCAAAAGATGCTAGATTTCTCTCCGTTTCCACTATTCTCTCTGTGACTAATTCATTCTTGCAAATGTCTTTTTTCTTAAGATTTTTTTTCCGGGGCTTGGTGTGGTGACCTAACAGATGAATTCTTTGGCTGCAACATTAAAATCCATGTTCCCTGGCTGTAGTCCTAGCTGCTCTATTACCCATCTTAGGAAAGCAGAAAATGTCACGAGGCCTTACACCCCGGGACCCATATGGTAAACTGGAAAAAGCTCCTTGCTCCCAGCTTCAGATTGGCCTAGCTCTGGCCATTGTGACTATCTGAGGTGTGAACCAGTGGATGAGACATCTCTCTTTGTCACTCCTTCAAGTAAAGTAAAATCAATCTAAAAAAAATTTTACTCATTTGAACGGCAGAGAGAGAAAGAGCTCTTCCATCTGCTTGTTCACTTCCCAAATGGTCACAACAACCAATAGGTCAAGAGCCCAAGCACTCAGGCCATTTCCCATTGCTTTCCTGGGTGCATTACCAGGCATCTGTGTCAGAACAGCCTTGACTTGGACGGGTGCTCAAATGGGATGCCAGTCTGACAGACATCGGCTTTATCCACCATGCCACAGTACCAGCCCTAAGTATTTTTTTTTGAAAGCTTCTCAGAAAATGATATGCATTCTAACTATTTTGGATGGCTAAAATTTCCAAAGTTTAACTATCCAGAGCTGAGTAAATAGTAGCCACTTAAAGATTATTCAAAAAATTCACATATGCATGAATGAGTTGCAAAAGCACTACTTTGAAACCATGCTCCAAAGGAACACATGGAGGCAGCCACCAGCTGGAGCGTGGTTCCTTTCCCACAGTCTACTCTCCAAAAAGGAGCTCTACTTTTATTTTGTGCTTTTTGGTTTCCTCATGTAATTGCATTTGAATAAAATGTTCCACTGCCACAAGTCAGAGTGAAAACAGTAAATATCCAACTGTACTGAAGCTTCTATTCAAATTCCAAATTTCTTACCTTGCATGGGGATGATGTAGCTTGCCAAAAGCATCTGAATGTTTCAGAAGCACATGAGTGTTCACCTTGTCAGAGTGACCAGCTTCTTCCCAGTTTTAAGAGGGAGTGACAGCCTTCTCCCATCCCCCACACCCAGTGTCTAACATGTATAAAGGACCTGTGCTATATACCCTGAGCAGCCACTTCCCTCATAGGGTCACCCCACCATGAGCAAGTAGGTCCAGGCCTTCTCCCACCAGACACTCTCCCTTAACAAAAGCCTTTGCCAGGAGTAAAAGCTCTTCTCTAGTGCCTTGGAACCTGGCAACTTTCATCTCCTATGGGTGATGAATCTCCTCATTATCAAAGCCTGTGGCTTATCTAAAGCCCATCACAGCATGGACTTTCATTGGTTTTGCAGACTTCATTTAGGAAAATAAAATATATTCTGCTATCTGTTATCAGCATCTTCTTAAACTCAACATTTTCAAATTCCATCTTAATATTTGAAAATATTCATATTGCCTAGTCTTGCTGTTCACTATTCCCTGTCATTTGGTGTCCCAAATTTGAGTCCCTAATTGTGATACCAAAACATGGAGAACACAATAGCTGGAAAATAAAGCAGCTAGGGAACACCTGAGAAGCAAAAGAACAGAATACAGAGTACAACACAGAGACTATCTTGAGTAGAAGCCAAATTTCCCACTTACCTTGTTAGTCCCACACTTAGTTCCATTGGCCACCATCCCTATGTCTTGGCTTGGGTCCTCGGGGTCAAATGTTTTACATGTCAGGAATGTGACTATCCGTCCTTTCCAGGGCAGATTATCAGAGCCCCCTTGACAGAACAGTTTTCCACACATGGCATCACTAAGGAAAACAGCAAAATGTATAACAGAACTCACACTGCAGTGTATACAAATGCAAAAAGGCTCCATGGCTCTCAGTATTTAATCACAGTTCTCCCCATAGCAGAAACTTCCAGTCATATATTCTCTTAGCCCTCAGTATTAGAAACCCTGGGTATTAGCAAACTATATTGTGATACAAATAGAGCCCTCATGTGAGCTTTCGATGTTTCCTCTTACTGTATCCTTGATGTACTTCAGTCACAAGTCTTAACCAAACAATGCAAGGATTGTACTGGCCATTAATCTGATAGATAAACATTTCTTCTCCAAGATTTATAAAGAAAATTCTATTGAGAATATGAGTAGAGTACACCAGAAAGTCCAAGGACAGATCACCCATCAGGCCTATGTTCGGGTGCATATTCCATCACAAAAGTTCATCATGGCTTCATAGTGACTATTTGATAATATCAGTGAGGGAGATGAAGAAAGGGATCAGCAGTGGGACCCTGGAGTGTTAGGGAAATACATGGTTGCTCAATAAACGTTTCAGAGATACCCACACTCATTTTGCCAATTTGCTTCATAGTTAATACCTAGCCCAAAGCATGGCACGCAGTCTCTCAGTGAATGTTTTCAGAAGACTGGTGTCCAAATTTCCACCCTCTTAGGTTAAAATAAACCAGTTAGTTAAAATTTGTGACTGGAAGTATGCCATTGCCCTAGTCTCTGAACACAAGTCACACTCAGCAAGTTTGCTTACTTTGCTTTGCAGGGAATGAGTGTGTCGTCCACTTTGCGACAGTATCCGTACTTTGACCCACCTTCATTCCGGCTATAACAGGACTTATCTGAAACTTTGGTTCCTGGTTCAGTAGGATCATATTTGAAAAGAAAGATAAGAAATTCAATGCTGAAAAGGATTAATCAAATATACAATAGGAAAAGTATTATTTTGACATAATTCTATTGACCATTCTCAGAAATGAAGCTTCTGACTTGAAATCAAAGGAACTGTCTGGATCTAAAAATAATCATTTAACTATTTTGTTATTAAAAACAGGAAAAAATTTTGCTATGGCTTCATGGTTATTTAAATGTTTGGGAACATCTGCATGATTTGCTGCCAGTAAGAAATCTGTGTAAATATGAATCCCAAGCCAGAGACACTGCAGTAATGTTAACAGTGTCTAAGCAGATAATCCATTGCTGGCTTGCTGCTCTGAGCTACCAAGACAACCATCAGCCATGCTTTGTGAAACTCCTCCCATTTGGCAGACACAGGCTTCGGTACCGTTTACTTCATTTTCCACGTAAGCATCCCAGAGTCCCATCAGCAGGCAACGGAACACAGAAGAACTCAGGATTTAAGCAACACTGAGCAGCAGCTTGGACTTGGAAGTGACTACCCCACTAGGTTTGCTCATGTATGAAATTAGCATTGATAACAGTGCTTACCTGATAGAGTTGTTAAGGATTAAGTACACATGAATTTATATGAGCTGTAGATACAGTGCGTGGTTAATAGCATGGACTTGGTAATTATTTGCCATTTTTTTCAATTTATTGGTAAGAAAACTGAGAATCATTAAGTCACAGAGAACTATAAACCCGGCTTGCTGTTCCATTCTGTCTCCTGGGCCTTCATTAGCAGGAAGTTGGAACCAGGAGCTGGAACTAGGCATCCAGCTCTGGGACTTGTTGCTGAACGTGGGTGTCCTAACTGGCATCTAAAACATGAAGCCCCATGCCTGCCCCCAATATTATTTCTTGTAATAATAATAAGCTCAAGATATTTAAACTTTATTGGACATTTGTCTTTTCCATGATGAATTGCCAGTTTATGCCTTAGCCACATTTTTTTTCTTGGAATTTCAGCTGATTTGTACAAGTGATTTTATATGGAGAAAAATCATGATTTTTATCACTTGGATATGTTAGAAAACTTCTCAAACTTTGCAGATCCTTTTAAAATAAACTTGTGTGCTCTTATGAAGAGTAAACATTGTAATTGTATTTTGCAAATCTACTTCTCTGGTCTTTATAATTTCCTTTTAGTGCATGATTTTAAGTATCTTTCCCATATCAATATCAGATATTCAATATTAACTCACAAATGGAACATTAATTCGTCATTTTTGCACATTTCCTAAAAGAAGGCTCTATGGGTTGGACTCACTGGCAATGTAGCTGTGAACAAGATTGTACTAGGAAGTTCACATGGAGAAGACAGATCACTTTTTCTTTTGCCTCACTCCACTAACATTAATTTACTGCACTCACTTCATGCAAGATCATACAAGAGATATTCAGAACTTCACCCTGCTGCTAAGAACCGTCCCTGCCCTCAGGGTTTGGTGAGCCAAAAAAGCACTGGGTCTTTAACCAGAAAGCCAATTTTATTGTCACTTTTAATTTAGTATATCCGTCCCCAGGAACTCTAAACAGGAAGGCTGAGGCTGGATTCCAAGGCACCAACGCACTTCCTGACATGCCGGTGGCGTTGATCTTTGCTCCTGCAGTTGTGTCAGCCTGCCTTCGCTGGACACGGAGTCTCACCGAGGAACTTGCTAGGATGTCATCTGCTTAATAACTGAAATTTATTTTTTTCTATGTGTACTGCTGTTTTCCTTGATCTTACTTTAGGTGTATTTATAGGAATTATGAAAAATTTTTAGCATGGCATGATTCGTTTCAACCATTTTAGAAATACATATTTTCACTGATATAAAAATCTTTCATTTCAACAAGAATCTTAAAGTATAAGCAGAGAAAGAAACGACAAACAGATGTAAACAGTACATCTGCCTCATACTTAGGAATTTTAAATACTCTGCATTTTAGATTGACTTCATCAAATTGAAATTTTACTCTTTTAGAACATGCCCACAGTCATACCCACTTGGAAAGTACTGGTCTATTCTCTGCTTCTGAGTGTTCAGCGTGATTCGTTTCCCACACTGATGATCATATGACATAGACTTACCCTTCTAACCGAGTTACTTAAGACAATTTATACTTCAGATTATATCTTCTAGAGCTCTGTAAGTTATAAACTTATTTTAAAAGTTTTCTTCTTGGTATCTTCTTGTTTTCCACAATTCTGGTAAACAAAGTGACATCTTCCCTCATAGTTCTATATTCCTGCTCCTCGCTCTTCCCCCTTCTTACCTCCTGTCCCCTCAGCCACCAAGGTAAACACCAGTCCAGAGAGACAGACACACAGACACACACACACACACACACCCCTTTCCACCTCCCCTTCCAGGGATCTACTTAGGTGAAAAAGATGCTGCTTTTGCTAGGTAAAATAGAGCATACCCAGTTTAATTTGAATTTCATATGAATGAAGTTGGGTTCGTTTCGTCTTGTAAAAATATACATCAAATATTGCATCGGATATTCTGTTAAGAAAACAGGAGTTTGGTTTACTTTGAAATTAAATTTCTTTAGATTTATTTACTTGAGATCCAGAGAGTCAGAAAGAGAAAGGGAAGAGGGGAGAGAGAGTTCTCATTCACTGATTTGCTCCCTAATCGAACAGAACAGCTGGGGCTACTCCAGAACGCAGCTGGGAGCAGGCAGCTGGTTCCTGATCACCCAGGTGCGTGGCTGGGACTCTACTTGAATCATCACCGGCTGTCTCCCAGAGTGGACAGTAGCAGGGAGCTGCAGTCAGGGGCGGAGCAGGCACTCAAACACGGGATACAGTACCCAACCAGCATCAGCCACTAGGCCACTCACTCTGCTCAGTATCTAACAGAGACATCCTTATTTTTACCTGGTAAATCTAACAACTCTAAAACTAACCATCAGTCTTACTACTGTTTTTTTTTTTAAATATTTTATTTATTTGAAAGGCAGAAAGAGAGAATGTGTTTCCAACCTCTGGTTCAGTCCCCATGTATCTGCAACTGCTGGGGCTGGGCCAGGCTGAAGCTAAGAACCTGCTACTCCATCCAGGTCTCCCACACAGCTGGCAGGGGCCCCAAACACTTCGGCCATCTTCTGCTTTTCCAAGAACATTAGCTGGGAGCTGGAGCAGAAGGAGAGTGTCCGAGACTTGTACATGGGCTCATGTAAGAGGCCAACACTGCACGTGATGACTGAACCTGCTGTGCCACAATGCCAGCCCCTATTCGTAAGTGTTAACGTGCACAGCTTCTAAGAAAGGGAAAAGGATAGTTCTTTGCCCACAATTAATGGAGGAGAGAGGGGTTTGTCACCTTACCTGCTCCCCACAGGTCCGTGCACTGCTTCTGCAGTGTGGGACAAGTTCCCATCAGACAGTAACCCTGCCCATTCTGGCAAGGAGAGCCATTGACTTGGAATCTGTCTTTGGGGCAACCAGTGGATTGACCATCACACATTTCAGGCAGGTCACACTCATCTTTCGCTGGTCTGCAAACTACCCCAGCCTTTTTAAGCTATAAGAAAACAGAAAGAGGGGGGTTATTTGTCAGTACCACATTTACCACCTCAAATTCATACAAATAACATTTTCCATTTGGCCTTTTTGGCCGTGGTACTGGGATGTCGTTTTATGCCAGTTTAACTTGCAGTCCATCTCCTATCACATCGCTTCTGTTGATTTACTGCTGCCCTAAGTTCAGACAGTTTATGTTTCCTCAGCAATTATCCTACAAGTTCAGAAATACTAGGTAAAGTTAAAAAGTAAAGAAGAAAAATCCAACACTGTCATGCAGAGCAGGTAGCTGCTTCTCTTTTGTTGAATGCATCTTTGTTGGGATTTTCAAAGAAGATTTAAATCTATATTTTCAGATTTGCTAGTGAAGTGAATCCTCTGTATTAAAGAAGGTAAATGTGTAAACACCAGATCTGCCACACTCAGACGCTTTCCCAGGCACCTGCATTTCTACTCTTTCTTTATAGTCGCAGATATTTATTTAAACTCAGTTATTCCCATGACACAATTTTTCAAGAGAGAGAAGGTTAAATATTCATTTAAAGTATCAATTTTATTGTGACTTATTATTGCAAATGGCTTTTGTTTTCTAAGAAAAAAAAACCATAGTAAAACTAATTCTGACACTCCTGTCTGGGGACACACATATATCCCTAGCTGCTGTGAGCACACGTGTTGTCATTACAGCCACAGTCAATGTCCCCATAGCAGTTACAGCAGCACCCCAAAGCTGCGGCTGGAGCTTGCAACACCCTCCTTATTCAAACTCTAGCGCTCCAGCCAAACCAGCTATCTCCTCATTAGAAAATTCCTTCCCTTTATTTCTAAATCAGAATCAAGGCTTGATTTGATTGATTTTTTTGTTCATAAGGTCTCCCCGGTTGCTCCACATTCAATATAATTCCCTGCTAATGTGCCTGGGGAAGCAGCCCAAGGCCGTATCAAATCCTTGGGGCCCTGCTCACATGTGAGAAACCTGGAAGAAGCTCCTGGCTACAGGTGTAGGCATGGCCCAGCCTGGCCATTTCAGTGTCGTGAATTGAACCAACAGATAGAAACTTCAACACTTCTTTTCAAATACATAAATAAAATCCTTTCAAAATACTTAAGAAAAACATTGTTTTGCACATATCCTTTAACATAAGCACTGACCATAAGCAAAACCAACCATACTTATTAAAATGGAATAAGATGGTAATCTTACTTGGCATTTTTCACAGCATTCTCCAAAAGCACATTGAAAACCTGCCTTGATTTTACATGTTTTAGCTTCACAGCAAATGTTGGTACATTCCTAAGAGATCAGAAACAAATTTAAATGCTGGATTTCTCTTTGGTCCTAGTTCAGTACAAGTCATAATGTAATGTTTTCATCACCTAACATACTTTGGAAGAGTTTGAAATTATGTTAGTTGAGAAAAACAAAAAGTTTAACATTAAGAGAAACAGATTCTGGAGCAACTAACGGTTTGTTGTTTATCTTTATTCTACCTTTACCTTTAAAATAAGCTTAAATGTCTTTTCTAGATCCTTCAGTCCCATAGTAATAATAAAGATGAAGATGAGGGAAAATGAAATAAAAAGGATCATATGAAAATAGAAATCACATAATTATAGAATATAATTATTTCAGCTCATTACTAGTAAATTGTCTCTATGTGAAATTTTGACATATAGTTTTAAATTCTGCTTAAAACAATGCATACCAACTTGGTCTCCCTGTCTTGAGCAATCAGAAACCTACATGCATAAGACACTGGAGGAATTCCTATTTAAAATCTCTCCGCTTCAGCTGTCTGGATTCCTACAGAAGACTGATATTTTTAGAATTATAACATTTAAGATGAATACTTTTGCCTTTAATGCAAATAAATGTACCATGTGTAAAATTTAGTCTTTCTCATAGGATAAATACTTTTGTGAGTCTACTTCAAAATTAGGGGAACAATCCACTGAGGGCTTGATATGTCAGTCATATGAATCGTTAGCAAGGGGAGGACAATGTCTACCCAGCACCTCTGTGAGAAGAGATGGAATCAGGTTAGTTTCTTCTACTGGGTCATGAGCTACCAAAAAGTACTACTTCCCCGTGCTCGCTGATGTTGGGACTCCAGAAGCAGACACTTGATCCACCTCTTGATTCCTCCATTGGTTATCTCTGTGCATTTGAATAAGGAAGCCATTGATGCTCTTTGAACATTATCACAGTGCTGTGCTTGAGGCATAAAGAATATGCTGTGGCCTGTAGTGTCAACATCACATATGGGTGTGGACTGGAGTCTGAGCTACTCTACTTCCAATCTAGCTCACTGCTAATGTACTTTGTAAAGGCAGAAAAATGGTCCAATTCCTTGGGCCCCTGTGCCCAGCTGGGAGACCCAGATGAAGCTTCAGACTCTTGCCTTTTTATGGCCCCAGTCACAGGCAATACAGCCAACACAGCTATTTTGGGATGAACCAGTAGATAGAAGACTTCTCCCTCTCTATCTCTGTAACTGCTATTCAAATAAATAAATAAATAGATCTTTAAAAAAAAGAAAGAAGTCATGTTCTCCTAAGATCCTTGAAAACTTAGCTAAAAAGGAAGAAATGAGGACTCAAGAGCCAAGTTGGTATGTGGTCCTTTAAACAGGAGGGAAGATGGAACAGGGTCCTGAGAGGGAAATTAATGCAGTCTGTTAAATAGTGTAGAGTTCCTGATCATGAAACTACCTGGACAAATATCTCCAAGTAAACATAACCTAAGTCACAAGAGACATCTAACTGTAGAGTGAACCACGCATTTCTCTTATGGCTGATCTCCCTAGTAATTTAAAGCTAGTTCATTTTAAGAAATAAATGGTAATACCTCAGGGGTCCCACAGTCGCAGTCCTCTCCTAATTCTACCAATTGGTTGCCACAGATCGGTGTGGATATAATATCTTTCGGGGATGGAACATTAAAGATGCAATCTGATAACTTGTCTTCAAAGAACTTGTCATAGCTGACACGGCTGCAGGAACTGAAGTCTGTGGGGATATAGAAGCTGCGGAGATAAGAGAATGCCTCATGTCATGCTGTGCGTGTGGGCAGCAGTGTCCCACTCTGGGTTATAGTCATAACGAGCTGCCAAAGACTGAGTCCAATCTACTGACAACTGCTAAATCGTGAGTCCATTTTCTATACAAACTAATCTCTGAGGGTGGATACACTCTGGATTCAAAAGAAAATGCTCCAATATACCAAAGTGTAGCATCCAGCCCACTTTGAATAAAATTTATTTAAATAACCTTGGTCGTCCTTAGCTCATTTGGATGCTTGTAAATACCTGAGGATAGAAACATTTTTTATGATAGTGAATGCACTTCACTTTGAAGGAATTCATATTAACAATATTTCTTCATCCTACACACAAAAAATGTTCTAATGTCTGGACAATGTGCTGAATCAAAAACACACACATTGCATGTTCCCAGAGGGCCTCACCTTAGTGATCTGTCCATCACACATATTGTAGAAGGGCACTTGCACACGTAGGTGTCATGATACATTCCAAAGTTGTGGCCCATTTCATGGGCCATTGTCCCTGCCACTCTGAGAAGGTTGTCACTGTGATCCTGAAGGGAAGGGCAGAAAAGCAGATGTTCTCATTTTCAAAGGGCATTAGTTATGTGTCTACTTTTCATTATTGTTTCTATTGTTAAGTATGGGGGCTGCTTTTAGCTGAAACCTTCTCACACCCCCTTTCTCTCTCTCTCTCTCTCTCTCTCTCTCTCTCTCTCTCTCTCTCTCTCTCACACACACACACACACACACTCCCTCCTGGTACTGAGCATTTATAATGTCTGTATTGATGGCCTTTAATACATGCAGTGATGGTCTTTTCCCCAATGAGTAGATTCTGTACTGAGGAAAACTGGTTTCTTGCTATCAAGCAGATTTTCTTCAATAATAAGTTATTAAGAAAAAAAACTTTAAAACAGTGATTCATTTCCTTTCTCCTTGGCATGCATCGATACCGCCAACTTAATTTTAGATGTCTTTGATGTGTTATGCTAATGGGAATCTAAAATTTGTCATTACGTCTTACACCTTCACCAACATCACTCTCAGTTCTATCGCTGCCAAGAGGGGTCTGTGGTTCTAAGTGATGCTGGAGCAACAAAGCAAGCGATGTAGGAGAAAGACCTCTGCTTTTTGTTTTTGTTTTTCAGTTTTTGTTGGGGCGGTGACAGGAATGTGTCAGTAACATCCGATTCCTGAGGCAGTGCTGGCTTTGTGGCACTGTGGGTTAATCCTGTACTAGTGAAGCCCACACCTCAAAGTACCATTCAAATCCTGGCTGCTCTGCTTTGCATACAATTTCCTGCTAAGAAAGCTAGGAAAGCAATTTGCTCCCTGCTATGAACATGAGACACCTAAATGGAAGTCCTGTCTCCCGGCTTTGACCAGCCCTGTCATGGCCATTACAGCCATTTAGGATGAAAGCAGTGGGTGGAAGATCAGTCTCTGCTCTCCTCCCTCCCGCCCCTCCTAGGATTTAAAAGAGCTAAATACTGTAGATTAACACAATTAACATATATAGCATTTTGCAGTCAGCCTCAGAAGATTTACTTTTCACATTAAGTGGCACACTGACCAAGAATAAACCTCAAAAAACATTTAGAATACTGAATTAGTGAAAATAATCATTAATGGGAATCGATCAAAAATAAATTAGAATATATTTTTATCTTTAATGTAAGTATAAAAGATTTGAAACACTGGGTGCAGGTAGCTCATAGGAAATTTAAATGCAGAGTAAAAAGGAAGAAAATAAAAGCAGAAGTCAGTGAAATTGAGGCCAGGAAAACCTTAGAGAACATTAATGAACCAAAATGTATTTTTTTGACAGGACCAATAAAATGGATGAATACAGAGCTGCTGTGACAGTAACAACAATGACAAACAACAAACATATCATCACAAAGAGATTCTACAGATGCTGAAAGGATAGCAACTAATGTTACTGACAAACTAGTTCCAACTTAAATAATGGGCGGCTTTCCTTTAAACGAATTCCTAAGGCTCCCTCAAATAGGACTGGACAATTTAAATAGCAATCTCTTGAAGAAAGAACACTTATATAAAGACCTTTCAATGAAGAAAACTCCACACCCATGTGCTCTTATTTGTATAATATATCAAACACTCTAGGAAGGAATAATAGTAAATCAATTTCCTGTAAAATCAGAGTTGAGAACATAATTCATTTTGTGTGGCCAATTTTACTATGATAACAAAGCCTAAAACTCAGTAACACAAAAACCCATTTTACAGAAATGGAAACTGCAGATTAATATCCTACATGAACTTGGGTGCAGAGACTCTGAAGATAACATCAGCATGTTGAACAATATTTTGAAAAAATTAACATGTTTTGGCTAAGCTGAGTTTATCCTGAAATGAAAAATGAGAAACATCATAGGAATAAAATAACTGGCAAAGTACAGTGATCTTCCTAGATTCCAGAAAATAAGAACTATGAATGAGAATCAGCTGCTCATCTTCAAACAGACCTGAACAATCCCAACAGAATGATATGGAGAGCACATGGTGGACATGAAAGCAAGACCCACAGTTGTTCCTGAAAGTTCTTTTGCCCTGCAGGAAAGGCGAATGGATATAATACATTATTCTCAGTCATATATTTATAGACAATTCATGTAGAGCGCTAAACAGCAGAGAAATACATTGTTAACCATATACAATTAAAACTGTCTTCTTTCAATATCTCAATTTGTGGGAGGCATTTTTTTCCTTGGAATGGCTTGCAGATCAGCTGAAACCCAAGCAACTGGTGTAAGATGTCATTGCATTCATTCACATTGATCATATGTAGAATGTAACCCTTGTCTGGGGCCAGCATGGTGTAGTAGGCTAAGCTCTCGCCTGCATCCCTCACACCCCATAAGAGCATGGGTTCTAATCCTGGCTGCTTGACTTCTGTTCCCAAGCTCCAGCTATATCAGCCGGGTGGCCTGGCTTGTGAATGAAGAAACCCAATGAAAGCCATGATTTTTGCGCTGATTTTTAATACAAGTAATACAAGTAAATAAATCTTTAAATGACCTTTTCAGCACAATAGAGTAAGTGTGGCATTAAAACAGTAATTTTCCTTGAAACCTGCTACTCTCTCTTTACTAGACCCTAAAGTCAACCCTTCTAAAAAACAAACTGAATTTAAGCCCCTTTCTATTAATTAAACTTACTTTGGTAGTCAATAAAAGCACATTTAGGAATCATTGCTAAATTATCACCAATCTTTAAAAAGAAAAAATTAGATAAAAGGATCGCATTTACACAAGAAAATGAGTGTAGTTTACACTTATAACCCCCTATGTGTATATTCTGTCCACATAACTCTGTAGATTAAGACACCACTTAATTTTGCCAAGACTTTTGAAATGCTTCTGTTAAGTATCATGGGTACATGAAGGGGAAAGTCTGTACATACGTGATTAACTGAGCAATATCATGATGCTTTCTTCCTAAGAGGACGTTAGCTCTCCATGTAGAAAAATTTTCCAAAGTGAAACTTGCATTTGAAGATATTTTTATCTTATCTTTATCACTCCAGATTTCCACACCAACCAAGGCCACATGAGTATTGAGCTTTTTATAAAGCTGTTCAGAGGGAACACGTAATAATGACATTAATTTTTTAATATTTCCAATGTGTCTTATATTTTCAAACCTTCATAACAGCACTGTAAAAAAAACCCACTTGTTTCCAAATATAACTTAAATAGAAATTACATTCTCTTCTTGCAGGTACTAAAATACGCATAGAAAATGAAAGGCAAACCCCGCAAAATATTTTGAGTCTGTAAATTTTGCTTGCTTATTTTAACAGCCAGGACAAACTGAGACAAGCTTTCCTTGTATATGAATTCACCAAATTCCATGAATTAGTGCTAGCAGTTCATTCCTCTGGCTTTCCATTTAGTGTGTTTACTCATTGTTTCCTCAATTTTCTTTAAGTTCTTGGCATAGCAGGATTAGCCAACATGGGTCAGTGCTGCTGTGAGCATTAGAAATGTAGCATGCTCCATGAAAATGTCCTCAGCTGGGAACTATGCCAGCACATGGCAGATCTCTTGTCTGCCTCTGTTTCTTCCTTTTCAGAACAGATGAAATAGATCTCATCCGTGGTTACATAATTGAAATGAGATCTGATGGTCTATATCCACATCTTAACTGTTATTTTCTACCTTTATGATTATAAGCAAGTTGTTTTTACTTCTCAGAATGTAATCCCACGGTTGCATGTTAGATCCCAGGAATGCCTTAGTTAAGGTTGTTCTGAGAATTAATGCATACAAAAGGTTTTAGTGAGTCAGAGGTTGACATTTTTTTTATGGTTTTTTCCCCCCTTCTCTGAAAAAGTTTTCTATTTGGGATTTCATTTCATCACTTTCTCGTTGCAGCTCAGGAGAACAAAAGCTTCCCAACAAATCATCTTGAATATTGCCATGGATAGATGTATAGTGGTGGCTAAAACATGAGAAAAGTCTCTGCAGTGGGATAACAAAATTAAACTGAGACACAAAGTTGTGCTCCTCCTGCAGGACCAGGCAAGTTCATGTGCATTCATGAAAAACCCAGTAGTGCATCCCAGTCAGCTGTTTATATTTCATACGGTATATCATACCATGTTGACGTAATTGGCCATCTCAAATACCCTTTTTCTTATTTCCTCTTGGTTTCCTTTGTACTTTTTAAACTAAAAAATATTAAAGTGGAACATGTGCATTAAAAGAAATTGATACAGTTTTTACGGCATAAAGAATCATGCTTATGGTAATCAGTGGTTACAATTAAGGATTGATTATTAAACACTTAAAAGTCAAACATTGAATTCTTAAAGCACTTTATGAGTGGAAATAATGATTTCTTTTGTTAATGTCTTTGTTCAGTGTAAAACTATGTAGTTGTTTAGAATACATTTCTCTCAATTCCATGATTTTAAGCTCCATATAATCATTGCAAGGAATAGCATATTCAGGTTAAAATGATAAATAAAATGATAAATTCTGTACAATAAGAGGACCACCGATTTAAGACATGAACTAATTAATGTATTCACATAGCTCAAGATTTTTCTTTTGAAGATTATACCTGTGGACTTTTTATTGAGAAAATTCAATATATGAAAAAGTGTTCTTACAAAAGAAGCTAAAATAGTAACTGCCAGGCACGATTTGCCTTTTTTCAGAAGATTCCGTTCCTTTTATGTTTAGCACTCATGCTGAGCATAAATTGTAATAAATAGGTGAGTTACATGTTCACAAAGGATGAGGTGGTCAAAGAAGTCAAAAGAAAGTGAAATTTAGATTTTCAGACATCAAGATTAGAATGGCATATGGTTAACAATTCAATTTATGCATATCATAGCAGTAGCCTATTCCTGGAAAGAAAAAAATCATATCAACTTAATTATGAATGTCAAATTTCATAGGCTAAAAATAATTTATAACCACAAATCATATTATTTTTAAAATATGACTCAGACATTTATCACAAAATGACTAATCTTATGTAGAGGGGCATTTTAAAAATACATACTTACCTCACCATTATCCAGGACCACATAATATTCTATATATTTCTTACGCTCTTGACCTTTCTTGTTATCCGATTTCTGAAACAGAGAGTTACTATAGCAACATCTTTCTCTATAAATCCTTTTATTTGATACATGTAACTTTATCAGAGATATGTTGATGTTTAGGAATAAAGGCAAACATTTTTAACTCTAAATGAGCAACAAGGGTTATTTATGGACAAGGGGTTCAAAATGTTGGAGCCAGAAAGAGCATCAATAATATTCTTCCTTGAAAGAAAGGATGTACATGATAACTTAAGTAAGCAAGGGGATCTGAACTTGAACTTCAGGTATGCTTGAACATTAATCCCATCACAAAACTGTAATTTTTGCCTATATCCAGGGTTTTCCTTATAACCTTTTGGTGCTATCTTGGTAAATAGCCCATTTTGGCCATGCAGAGTGTCCATACACTGCTGTATCTGATCTCTCCTCAGACTGGTTTCTTTCCCACATCCCACACTTTCCTGCTTTCTGTCCCTTCATACCAGCACCTCCCAAATTAAAGCATGAAACTCTTCATAGTGGATTGCCCCACTGAAAAGTAGCAAATTCACCATTCCTCAAAAATAGTACATTGTCAAAGATAATGTTAAGTTTTGTTTCTGGAAATGCTTATCTTTTACCAGATGAGTAAGCTTCCTTACTTTGAACAAATCATTGAAGGCAGACTGATATTATTGAACAAACTTAACCTCTCACTCCCCACAGGTACAAAATATTTGTTAGTCTTACTATGCACTGCTACTGCTCTGACAACTAGGAATGCAGCAATGAAATAGACATGATCCATCTGTGTAGTATATTCACAACATGCATACAAATTCAGATATACCAGATGGTAACAAGTTCTATGGGGCAGTTTACATGGGTGACAATGTTGAATGACTAGGTAATACTTCATGGTTAGAGAATGCTTTTCCAAATTGTTATCTCTTAAGCAAATCACGTAAAAAAGAAAAAAAAAAAAAAGGAAAGCCAAGCGAGAGAAAATTCTAACCATGACCAAAATAATTCAAAAGATTCTAGAGTCCATTGATATGAGTTTGAAATATAACAAAGCATTTCTATTGGTTAGAGCATAAGGAAGGTGGTTAATCAAGAAATGGAACCTACAGCGTAGTAAGATGCTTGAGCTGCAGGTGGGGCCCTAACCCCATGGGGGTTTGTAACTTATAGTAAGGTGGCTTTTCTACTAAATGCAAGGGAAACCATTAGAAGACTTTAAGTAATACAAAAAAATAATATGAGTTTCCGGGAATAAAGCATGTCATTATAAAAATTAAAAAGAGAAAAAAGGGGAGAGGGTGAGGGATGTATAGGAGGGAGGATAGAGTGGGATGTATCACTACGCTCCTAAACCTGTATTGCAAAGTATGTGAAAGTTGGTCACTTTATATAAATAAATTAAAACTTTTTATAAGATACAATTATCAGGACCTGATGTGTAGAGGATGGTTCTTACTGAGAAGGGAAAGGAGGATAAAAACATTAGTAGAGGCTTTGGCCATGATTGTTTTGGGTAGTAGTTAGGAACACTTAGAAAAAAGGATACAGCAAGAGACCTGGAATTTGTGTTGAGGCACTTGCTGATGGATACTCTATGAGAAGGAATGGAATAAACAGAAATCAATGGTGCTATTTTTGGATTTGTACTTAAAGCAGTACTCAAACTGGAGGAATAGAAAGAGAAGTGAGTTTCATTCGGTTCTGCAAATTTGTGGGGTTTTTGTTGTTGTTAACCATATTCAGGTTGTCATATTAGATATTTTTTGGATACATTAAACCAGTTAACCATGCACATCTGACTTTTAAGTAAGAGCTCAGGGCTGGAGGTATACATCTGATGGTGATGAGTGTGTGGTTGCTATTAAATGTGACAAGGAAGAGAATTACTCAGGGAAAATGCATTGAGAAAGCAAAGAAATGGACCAAGGACTGAACTTTGTGAAGTTCCAGCGGTCAGTCAGAGAAAGGTTCACAGAAAGAAATTGAGAAGGCATAGCACTAATGATGGGGGAAGCCAAAACAGTGGGACATGATGAAAGGAAAGCTACTTCCATGTCATCCTCGAGCCAGGTGGCCCCGACCAAGGTGAGTCAGGAGGTTGACAGGCACATTAACATGTAGCCACGACTGGTTCTCCTTAAAAATCACTGATGGCATTCAAAGCTACAACAAAATAAAATTTTATTCAAACCAATTTTAGGAAGTTCTAAATAGATTCTAATTTATTGAATGAATATGGCGAGATTTGAAGTAGATGCTGAAGAAAATCTAAGTATTAATGATAACGGTATCTTAATATAGACCTTACATTTTAAATCATACAACTGTACCCCTTTTGTTCTGTGACTAGAAATAGCTATATGTAAAAGAATATTGTAAGAATCTAAGAAAATAGATCCCATGTCTATTTTCTTTACAATATGGCCCCAGTACCTGAAAAAATACGTTGAGAGTATTGTTGGACATATTCTTTAAAGACCCAACAAGATTCTTAATTTTAAAATAATAATACCTTACAGTTTTCTGATTTCCTTTAGGTGATACAGAAAATTATGACAGTTGTCTTGATGTGCATAAATGATATACTTCTTAATCCTTGTACATTGCATATAGAAGAGATGAATCAGAAACGTATAGCATTATTTCATGATAAACATCTCTATAACCTACTGATGCGGTAATGGACTATACAGTGGCTTTCAGTGGTGTTGTTAAGTTCTGGAACCCAGGGTACCCAGAAGATGATACGGAAGTGAATTACAAAGAACAAAAAACAGAGTTATACATACGACCAGCCTGACAGCAGGTAGGTCCCCATTCTGGTGTGATCCAGGTGCCTGCAACACATCCTTCACTCCACAGGAGCTTTGAGTCTTGTTTTCATCAGCATCATACTTGGAGAGTGCGTGCGCCTGTTCATCATGGTTTGTGGGACTTAAGGGTTCAATGAAGTACCTTTCGTCTCCTTGGCTGAAGTAACCCCTGAAGAATATATAGGCATTCAGACATCTTTAAAAACACCGCATCCTTAGGGGCTGATATTGTGGTGCAGCTGGTCAAGCCACAGCTCTGACATCAGCATCCCATATGATTACTGACTTGAGTCCCAGCTACTTCATGTCTGAACTAGCTCCCTGCTCATGTCCATAGGAAGGCAACTGGAGGGTGGTCCAAGTGTTTGGGCTCTTCCAACTCTGCAGGAGATCAGGAGGGCAATCCAAGTTCCTGGCTTTACATTTGGTTTGCATTGATTCCATTTTCAAAATAAGAGCCCCTGTAGAATTTCTAATCAATGCTGCAACAGCTTAACTCTTGCATGGAGACTACTGTGAACTTGCAGCAGAAGGTGCCTTTGGAAATTATTGAAATTTGTTTTCTCTGTAAGAAAATGGAACCTTTCAAGGAGAAGTGACTCCTGTAATGTTAAATGGCTAATCCATGTCATTTTTAGCACAAGAAAGGACACGACCTGTGTGCTACATGTTTTCATGCTGTATCTAGGCTAAAGGTACACTGCAAATTGAAGTGAGTTTGTAGTATCACAAGAGAGAAAACCCAGATTCTATCACTGTTGGCTGTGATAACATGGGAAAGTGACTTAAACTCCTATAACTTTGGGTTGTGCATATATAGAATGAGAATGACAAATGTCTGCCTAAATAGAACAATGGTAGAGATTTAAACAGCATGAAATGCACATGATCAATGCATAATATCAGTTTCTTCTCAACTCCCATTGCTGAAGCCCTGGAGCAGGATTTATTCAGTGTCTATTTGTTCCTCACTCACTATTCTTGAAGCAGTGAACTGAAGGCATGTGGTTAAAAACAATACTATGTGGACCCCATGTTCAAGTGAGGACAAGAATGAATGAGTACTAAAAAATAAAAGGCAGTTGGTGTAGCAGTTAAGACACCACGGCAGCCAACATCAGAGTGCCTGAGTTCAGTGCCTGGCAGCAGCATCTGATTCCAGCTTCCTGGCAATGCAGAGCCCGGGAGGCAGCAGAAGATGGCACTGGTGACCTGGGAGATGGGGAGTGACCTTAGCCCTGGCCTGGCCCCCAGTGCAGCAGGCATCTGCAGAGTCAATCAGTGGATGGGAGTTCTGTCTCTGTCCACCCTTCTCTCTTTCTGCCTTTTGAATAAATCTTTGTTCTCCTCCCCCCCACAAAAATTCCCAGAATGTGTACAATCGTATAGTAAATCCATAATACTTATGAAGCATTAATTGGCATAAAGAAAAATTAGAACATGTACATACAGGAAGAACTGAATACCATATTTATGGATGGTGAGTACCAGAGAGGGACGGTTATCTAAAGATTCTCACACTAGGATTTAGACACCCACATTTTAAGAAACAAGTAACTAAAGACAGTTCACATGTTCAATGGACAGACTTCTGTCAAAACAAGTATCATTTGTTTCACATTCCAAAATTGTGTTGCCATTACAGTTCGCCTCCACTAATTATACTTGCGCTCTTTCAGGCATTATATAATCACATACATAATCACAGATACATACAATACATTCATGGAGCTTTACCTCAGACCCCTGCACGTGCTGATGCTGGCATCCGAAAATTTTTCATTAAGGATGTGTCCATGATAGTAACAGTCATCCTAAAGGGAAAGAGGAAAGCATCCTGTAAAGGAAAATTCATGTGATTTTTGCACTAAGTATTAAATTTGAAGTCTAACCTATGGTGATGTCATACCATTGTCAGCTGAGTAAGTCAATGCATGTTAAATATTTCGTTATGTAAAAACTCCATTAGGAGTTGCTGGTGCAGGTTAGAAGTATATATATATATATATATATTTTTTTTTTTTTTTTAGGAAAAAATGGTTTTACTTGTGAAAGTTTAAAATAGGAACCCGCCAAACAGTTTGTACTTAATTCTCCCCCTTTGCTGGCTGCTTATTAAAATTTTTCCTGGGACTGATGTGGTAGCCTAGTTGCTTAAGTCTTCACCTTGCTTACACCTGGATCTCATATGAGCTCCAATTCTAATCCTAGCAATCCCATTTCCCATCCAGCTCCCTGCTCGTGGCCTGGGAAAGCAGTCAAGGATGGCCCAAAGCCTTGGGACCCTGCACCCATGTGGGAGACCTGGAAAAGAGGCTCCTGGCACCTGGCTTCGGAGATCGGCGCAGCTCCGGCTGTTGTGGCTGCTTAAGAGTGAATCATCGGACAGAGGATCTTCCTCTCTGTTTCTCCTCCTCTCTGTATATGTGACTTTCCAACAAAACTAAATCTTAAAAAACATTTTTTTCCCGTAACGAAGACCTACAAGCTTTTTCCAAATGGATGTTACTCTGATTGTTTTTTTATTTATTTTTTGATGAATGCAAATGTTACAATTAATTCTGGATTAGCGCCATGTGGGTTACTTCCGTTTGGAACAAAATGCTCATTCTAACAGTTTTCCCAGTGGGTGTTCCTCGATGGCGCTTCCTGTGTTGAGGCACTCCCACACACGGCCATCTGCTTCACGGCAAAAGAAATTAAGACAGCAAGCCCCTTCCAGCTGCTCTGCAGTGGGGCATCCTTAGGCATAGTAGTCAATGAATTGCTTTATCTGTGTCACAGTGTTTAAAAACAAAGTATGCATTAAGTAGTCACTACCCAAGAAACAAGCACCAATGCTGTAAATGCAGTTTTATTTCCACTATTTATTTGCTTGACAACGACAGTGTGTTTAGGCATGTCACACAGCAAGGAGGACCCTAAGGGGACTGTAATACCATGATTTGTGGACTCGTGTTGACTGCTTTTCCACTGGAATTATAGTATGTCTCTGTGTAGCCTGGGGCAAGGAGGTTCCTGGAGGAGGGAAGAAAGAAAACATGGTGCTGGTTATTTATGTAAAGAGCAAAGTCCAACAGTCACAGCGAGAGTTTCCAGTGTGTGTTTTTGGAAAAGTTTTGATGGAGAACTTCCCTCTAAACCCTAACACACATCCAAGGGTGAAACAGATACTTGAAATGGAGAAGCAGAGAGGGGTGGGGACATTCCTACACGGTGCGGAATGATAACTTTTTTTTTAATTTCTTCATACGTGCTTCTGTGTCCTTGTCTGAGGAGTGGCTTTGGGGAGAAGCAAAACTGAGAAAGTGCAAGCTGATACCAGTGAACGACGCACACGATCCTTGCCGCTTTGGGATAAGTGCATGTCAGCCAGTTCTTTTCAGTTAGAAGTGACAAATAACCATCGTGACAGCAGGGTCATTATGAAAAACGACTTGAATTTCATCCTGTCTTTCCGGCATTTTCACTAAGCTTTATTTCAGTTACTAGAAAAAAAGGCTGAAAAATAATTGATGTAATTGGCTATATATATGTATATATTCAGGAGTATTTTATCTATATATAATTTACTTCTCTAAGGTGTAACTGACCAATAAAACTAGTATATATTTAACGTCTGCAATGTGGTTGTTTGATATAGTTACTATTAGTGTGGGGGGGGGAGGGAAGATATTTTCATACACTCATCGAATTTCAAATATACAGTACATTTTTATTAACCATAATCAGTGTGTTATATATTAAGCCTATTACTTTTATAACCAAAAAAATGTGTTACTTTTATAGCTGAGAGTTTGTATGCTGTGGAAAATTCTCGACGGGGAGCATCCCATGATTTCCTCCCTCCGGCCCTACCCCTGGCAACCAACATGCTACTCTTACATGTATTCTCTTCTTTTGGAGTCCACAGAAGATTAGGCAGTCTGTGTCTTTCTGTGCCTGGTTAATTTCACTTTCCATAATGTCCTCTGGGTTCATGCCTATTGTTACAGATGGCAGCGTGTCCTTCTGTTGAAACTAAGTAACATCCCGTTGTGTGTGTCTGCATATGTTCACACATACACACATGCACACAACACAATTCCTTTATATATGGCTCTTTCTAAAGACACTCAGGTTGTTTTCATGTTTTGGCTACAGTGAATCAGTTTATATTTCAAAGAAACAGAGCCAAGAGAACCTAACTAATTTATATGCATAAAATCTCATCTCTGGTAGGCATGTTAATAATATGATAGGCATTATTTAATCTAATTCTGAAAAACATTCTATGAGAGAATATTTCTCTCTGTTTTCAGAAGAGATTAAATAATTCAGAACACCGGGCCCAGCGGCATGGCCTAGCGGCTTAAGTCCTCGCCTTGAACACGCCAGGATCCCATATGGGCGCCGATTCTAATCCTGGCAGCTCTACTTCCCATCCAGCTCCCTACTTGTGGCCTGGGAAAGCAGTCGAGGACAGCCCAAAGCTTTGGGACCCTGCACTTGTGTGGGATACCCGGAAGAAGTTCCTGAATCCCGGCTTCAGATCGGCATAGCATTGGCTGTTGCACTCACTTGGGGAGTGAATCAATGGATGGAAGATCTTCCTCCCTGTCTCTCCTCCTCTCTGTATATCTGACTTTCCAATAAATAAATGAATCTTTAAAAAAGTAATTCAGAATGCCAAGTATCATATTCAGATCTGTTTGAATCCAAAGCCTTTTGTGCTGATACCACAAACTACAGCCAATTGTTACACAAAAGATATTAATCTTGGGACGAGGGAGAAAACTTAATCCTACATAGGATGATGATGCAGAGATTGAAGCATTAAACATGGAATTTGAAAATATATATATATATATCTTCTTTCCAATAGTTTAGAAATAGGATGATCAAAATCTGGATGGGAACTGCAGGAATGAACTTTGAGGAGAAATATTGTTATGGACCAAATGAAGACAATTAAGGAAAAAAGAGGACAAATGCAATAATTCAGAAAAATGACAGCTCAAGGGGCACCTTGGAAGAGGGGTAACTATTGTTGGGACCAGGTCTGGTTTTTATCATATACATTTTAGTTGTCCTGGAATATGAATTTATCACTAGATAGTTTGTTTTTCTAGTAGAAAATGCTATTTTGTTTGAGTTTTATCAAAGGAAGAGAGAGTGAGAGAGATGGATGGAGGGAGAGATTCCATGACCACGTCCGTTCCCCAAGCAACTGTGTAACATCAAGAAACTGGGCTGTGGATGAAGCTTGATGTGACCAAAACCAGGATCCCTGAACTCACTCTGGGTCTCCCACATGGGTGGCAGGGACCCAAGTACTTGAGTCGTTACTTTCGTCACCACAGATGCACATAAGCACCAAGCTGCAATCAGGGACAAAGCTGGGACTGGAACCCCAACGGTCTGACATGAGACAGACACCCCTATACTGATACATGGACACTGGCCAGCACAAATGGTCTTAAAATCTACTGTTTTGACGTTGTAACAACACACTGTAGTAATACAGAAGAAAATATAGAAGTTATATTTAAGTATACCAGATCCTTTCTGCTATGCCAAGAATAAATGAAACTAGTATCTACCCATACTGCATTCTTGGGTTTTAGTCCTAAAATACCCAAATACTGTACTAGTAAACTGTTGTTTTACCCAGTGTACTTCTGCTTCAGCAGAAACATTCATTGAAACCCTTGGATCAGTTGAGAGCAAAAGCTGAAATGGAATAGTTCAGTTTGTGAGAACTGTATGTAATAACACCCAATTAGGACACTTCGCACAACATAACTTTACTGTTGGTGAGGAGAGCATGAGCGCTAAAGACACTTACTTGTTTTTTTTCAAATAGAGCACTGCGACTTTTCCATTGACTGTCATTTTATACTTTAATTCAGTTTCAAATTTTCCCTGCAAAAATGCACAAATATTTACTGGTGACTTAAAAACATGCAAACATTTATTTCGCTTTGTTTATTCACTTGGCTATGTTTATCACTTTAATGATTACCAAAAAATGTCTGCTTTTCTTTAGCACTAGCCAAATGTTTGTTTATTCCTGTTTTAACAGATTGAACAGCTTTGGCAACAACACTGGATATGTTATCTGACACTCCTATCCATGCCATTCCACGTGTATCGTTTGAGTGCTGGTTACATGAGAAATTAGAAATGCAACTCTATGCAAGAAAAAGTGTTCCCTGCTGTCAGAGTGCTCACAGCCTTAAGTCATAATCATGACAAATGTGTGTGATAAGACACCTAGTATTTTAAATGCAAGGAAGGCTTCCTTGAGGCTGCAACATTTCACAGAGATGGCAATTACCTGAGTGAAGTGGGAAGCTCAAGTTCATCTAAAAAAGAAAAGTTTATGTACATACATGAAAACCTCAATCATGTCTCATGGATGCTGGGTTTTTTTTCCAGAAAAAAAATATATTTATTCATTTTGAAAGTCAGAGGATGAGACAGAAAAGGAGATCTTTTATCTGTTTGTTGATTCACTAGATGTTAGCTGCCACACCTCAAACTGGGCCAGGTTACAGTCTCTCACATAGGTTTCAGTGGCCATTATCTTGGAGCTAGATGAGAAGTAGAGCAGCTGGGAAGTGAACTAGCACCCATGTGGGATGCTGATATTGCCAGCAGCAGCTTTACCCACTATGTACAGTGCCAGCCTTGATGATTCTTTATGTTGAGGACAATTTAAGACTCTGGAGGAAGGGCTGGCTTTGTGGTATAGCAGGTTAAGGCATGATCTGCAATGCTGGCATCACATGCGGATACTGGTTAGTGTCCCAGCTCCTGCACTTCCCATGCAGTTCTGTGTTGGTGTGCTTGGGAAAGTAACTGGAAATGGAGCCATTAGCTGGACCCCTGCTACCTGTGTGGGAGACCTGGCTAAGGCTCCTGGAATGCAGCCTGACCCAGCCCAGGCTACTGTGTCCACCTGGGGAGAGAACCAGCAACATGAAATTTTGTCCTGCTTCTCTGACTCTTCCTCTCTAGCTGTAACTTTTTCTTTTGGACAAATACATGTGTTGTTTCATTTTGTTTTTTAAAGAGTATGTGAAGCTGATAATATGAGTATCACAGTAGGAGTGGGGAAAATCATCAGGAATAAACGACAGTCTCAGACCTTTAGCAAAGAGAAATATCTCATATAAGCAATGTGGAAAAGGGGAATTGTTTCAAGTGCAGACTAAGAGGAGTCCATAGTTCTACTGACTTGAGAAATGGTTACTCTAGAGTGAGATTTACAAAGTATTTATGGGGTGCAGGGATTGCCTTCATTATATGGTAGTCAGGTGTGTTAACATTTTTGGATGTTTTGTTCATTGAATCTTTACAACCTTCATGTAGAAACCACAATAACTTGTAAGAACTTGCACCTTAAAGTCAGCATTATTATGAGAAAACGTGCTGGAGAGAAGATACACTTTTAATGGAAAAAATACATTAGTTTTGTGGCAAAAATATAATTCCTCTATCCATTCTTCAGATAAGTATGATATGAAAAAATTAGGTAATCTTGAAGGGCAAGACTGAAGTGTCAGACACACAGCAAAGGGGGCACAGATCTAAAAATGTGGAGGGTGAGGGAATCATGGAAAAGATAACTAGGGCTGAATTCTGAATGGTTATAGATAGATGTCAAAAGTCACATAAAACTGCCATACAAAATAGAACACATTAATTATATTTGAATTTCAAATAAACAGCAAATATTTTATATGCAAATCTTAATGTAACATTTAGGACATGCTTATACTAAAAACATATTTGCTCTTTACCTAAAATTCAAATATAACTGGGTATTCTTGGCTTCTCTTTGCAAAATGTGGCAACCCTTACATGGAAGATTATATAAGACTGGGAGAAAGCCTGGGGTTCAGTGAAGAAAGGAGATGAAATTCCACCAGCGGGGAAAGTCAAATGAATTATTTTGGAATATAGGAAGAAAAAAATGTGGGACATGAAGCCACAGTCAACCTTGAAAATTTATCATAGGAAGTAGAATATTGTGGGCTGCATAGGGTCACATTACAGCATTCTTGAGCAGGGCGTTGATACTTATTTCCTGATTCAAGTTTCATAGGCATTATTGCAAGTTTTCATCATGTACTGTAAGAATTCTCATTTTTATCTCTAAGAATTTAAAGGGATCGTTTTGTGCATCTAAATTTACAGAGAGACTTGGCGAAGCGAAGATATGAACATAAAGCTGCCCTCTGAATTAATTGTTGCCTCCCTGTGATGACAAGGTGATAGACCAGACAGCAAGGAAGAAAGAAATTGCATTGAATTTTTTTTTCAGGTACATAGGATAAAGTCTCATAAAAGATTAAAATATTTATCTGCAATCCTGGAGAGCTTATTTTATGTCGCAGATCACTAACTTGTTACATGAAGCTAAGAGTAGAACTCTGGGTAAAAGTGAAGTCTGAAGAAAAGGATAAAAAAATATATAACAGTATCACTTCAAAATGTAATAGTCACAAAGTCCACCTGATCCATTAAAATATAACCATATAGACATCTCACTTGCATCTCTCATTCCCCATTTTTAATGTATATCAAATCAAGATTCTTTGATAGATCAAAGCTGTACCTGTTGCTCTGGATCTTTGAGTTCCCTTTTATGGACTGGATGAAGTCTTACTGGATAAACCACTTCATACTTCTTTATCACAGGAAGTTCTTTTATAGCATTTACTGAGATGGGGGGAACGGGGGCAGGGGAAGAGGGAGAGAAAAGAACAGACTTAGCTATTCAAAAGAGAAGTTCTTGGCTAGTTGGTTATGATAATCCTTCTTTGCATTCCAAGTGATCAAAGCCACCAGCATGCTTTGAGTGATTAGTTGCAGTTATTCACATACTGATACTTTAAAAAAATCAATACAAACACAAATCAAAACCCTTCTCTTTCTCTTAAGTCTTGAACCTGTATTCTTTTTAGCAGAAACAACACTTTTTAAAAAAAAGATTTATTTACATGCAAGGCAGAGTTACACACAGCAGAAAAGGCAGTCACCAGCTCATTCCCAAATAACTGCAGTAGCTGCAACTAAGGCAGGGTGAAGCCTGGAGCCTAGAACCCCATCCAGGTACACCACATGGGTCCCAGGCGCTTGCACCATTTGCTGCTGCCTTCCCAGGTGCACCAGCGGAGAGCGCTTTCAGAAATTTAGCATCTGAGAATGGAAGCAGTGACCATTGACCTCCTGCACCACAACTGTGGCCCACAAAACCATCTCTTGAATTTCCCCATTTCAGTGGTATATAGCAATGGGCTGCCATATGAGGACATAGCAGTAGTTTATACATACACAAATATCATCATCATCATCAAGGCAGTAGCAAAATAACCTACTATGAAGCCAATCAGTCCCAAAAGAACTGCATAGAAGCACCATGTAAGCCAAAGTCCTCAAAATAAAATAATGCACGCCATCTCTGATTCTAACACATCATCTTAGATTTGCCAACAACAATGGCATATATCAAGACACCAAGTAACTATAAGAGCCTTTTTAAATTTTTAAAAATATTTCTTAAAGGATTTGAAAGGTGGAGTTGCAGAGAGAAAGGGAGAGAAGAGAGATTAAAAAAATTTTTTTTTAAATTTTCATTGGAAAATCAGACCCACAGAGAGAAGCAAAGACAGAAAGAAAGATCCTCCATCCACTGGCTCATCCTCCAGTTGGCTGCAACAGCTGAAGCTGAGCTAGCTGCTCAGAAGCCAGGAGCTTCCTCTAGGTCTCCTATGTAGGTACAGGTCCCAAGGCCTTGGTAGGGGAGAGAAAGAGCAGAGAGAGCAGGAGTGGGGGTGGGAGGGAGGGAAGGAGGGAGATTGCGAGGGAGGGAGGAAGAGATTAAAGAGAGAGAAGGAGAGAGAGGTGCAGAGGGAGAGAGATTGAAGAGAGAAGGAGAGAGTCTTCTGTGCAATTGTTGCACTCCTCAAATGATTCCAGCAGTGAAGGCTTAGCTGTTCACTGTCCAGCAGCAATGGACTCGGTGCACAGAACCGATAACAATACATGTGGACTACTGACTGATGGTCAATAGCCAAAATTTATAACAGCATCAGACTTTTAAAAGTAGGTTGTCAGGCCCGGCGCGGTGGCGCAAGTGGTTAAGGTCCTCGCCTTGCACGCCCGGGATCCCATATGGGCGCCGGTTCTAGTCCTGGCAGCTCCACTTCCCTTCCAGCTCCCTGCCTGTGGCCCGGGAGGGCAGTGGAGGACGGCCCAAAGCTTTGGGACCCTGCACCCGCGTGGGAGACCCAGAAGAGGTTCCTGGCTTCGGACTGGCATAGTATCAGCCGTTGCGCTCACTTGGGGAGTGAATCATCAGTGAATCATTGGACAGAAGATCTTCCTCTCTGTTTCTCCTCTCTGTGTATCCGCCTTTCCAATAAAAAAATAATAAAAATAAATCTTTTTTTTAAAAAAAGTAGGTTGTCATATAGGAATCAGAGGATGGTGTTCCAATCCATTTCCATTTCAACAGCAAGAGATAGCTCCCAGTACACAATCAGTTCCTCTAGCAAGTCCTTTATCTAAACCTGTAGACCAGGAAGTTTGCTGTCCATCTCTGTATCAACTGCTCCAGGCCTTCCAAAGGAGATTCAACTAGCCTTTTGCAAAAGATTCAAGATGTCTTCCCACCCTTAGCCATGCTGAAGCCAGCAGCCACAGGACATCAGGGGACCAGCAACTCAGTTCATCTGCCAGTGCTTTCCCAGGCTCATTAGCATGTTACTGGATTTGATATGGGGTGGCCAGGACACAAATGGACATCCATTTAGGATGTCAGTATTGCAGCTTGACCCGTTTTACCACACTACTTTGGCCTGCAAGAGGTTCTAATAGTACATTAAAGAATGGCTTGGCATTAGCAATGGAATAAACTTTTTTTTCTTTTTTTTTTTGCAAAATATAAAAACGAACATTAGAGAAGTACAACCACTGGCCTGGAAGCTTTCTTTTGGTAGTGGTTTGTTTAATTTTGAACCTGCAACCATCAGTTAGGTATGACTTCAGTAGGAACAAGAGCATAGGGCTAAAACTCTGTGTCAAAAATGGGGTGTTAAACTAATAAACAAAATAGCTTTCTTGCAGTTTAAGATTTATTCTGAAACAGTTTCAAAAATATTTAGGGCCTGGCGCGATAGTGTAATAGTTAAGGTCCTTGTCTTGAACGCACCAGGATCCCATATGGGTGCCGGTTCTAGTCCTGGCAGCTCCACTTCCCATCTAGCTCCCTGCTTGTAGCCTGGGAAGGCAGTTGAGGACGGCCCAAAGCTTTGGGACCCTACACCCATGTCGGAGACCCGGAAAGAAGTTCCTGGCTCCTCGCTTCAGATTGGCACAGCACCGGCCATTGCGGTCACTTGGGGAGTGAACCATTGGAGGAAAGATCTTCCTTTCTGTCTCTCTTCCTCTCTGTGTATCTGCCTTTCCAATAAAATAAATAAATCTTTAAAAAAATATTTAAAGGCATGGCCCTGGTACCAGAATACTTTAGTTTTTTTTTAATTTGGTTTATATTTTCTGTTTGAAAGGAGGGAGCATAGAAATTGGTCTTTAATTAATGTAGTTTATAATATTATGTGAATAAAGACTCCAGTATAACCACTTGGAAAAGGCCATGGTCAATTGAAGAGGTCAACATTACTAGTGTGATAAAATGCTCTTATTTGTCACACTTCAAATATGACATCACAGGTTTGCTGAGTTACTTATTTCCTGTTGTCACTGGATACCTGTTATTACCACTAACTTTGATAGCGGAAAATAATAAAAATTATAGGAATTTTTATAACAGAAGCTCAACAGTGTAAAGGAATATTAAGTTTGTCCTTTTACATTTAGTGTAACATTTCAAGTTATTTCGCAACAGTAAGATGTCAAGAGGTAAGAAAATTACTCTTGCCAGAAATTTAACTGATGATGCTGGCACAATTTCCTGCTGCCTGTTTTAATTCAGAGACAGGAAACAGGCACACCATAAGGCACCAACATGCTGCCCAGTGTCTTACAGTGTTTAATCAGCACAATTAATAAAGAACACATGAAAGTCCAGTTTCACCAACATTGAAGCCAGAGCAACTCTTTAAAATACTGCATTCCTGGTTTCCATCCATAACATCAGGAAACAATCAATGCTGCCTGTAGGTCACAAATAATAAGCCACCTAATTCTTTGCATAAAAGCAGAAAATGGTAATATACTATGCCTAGTTCAGAAAGAGTGTGAAGGAAAAGTGTGTTGGTCTAGCTAACACATTTCCTAATATGCACACTAATTTCCATGTTTCCGGCTTAGTGTCTGTATCTTAATGTTTCATGAAATCAGAAATTATTAACTGATTTTTAACACTGAACTCAAGATATGTAAACTAGTCGTCAAATTTACACACAGCTCACTGACAGCAAACACTTGCAAGTGGCAATCAGACAGAACCAAAGTTCACAGCAAAACGATTTAGTAAAAGGTACAACATCTGCATTGAAAATCCTCAGCCCATGCCCCCTTCCTTAGTCTGAATGGATGCCCAGCTCTTTCTATACCCTTCCAACAGGATGGATTATTTAAAGAGAACAGACACAGTTTCTGGTAGAGACCCCTACTGTCCTGAAGAAAAGATCTCTGAAATAATGAGACTTGACATATAGCAAATTTCCTGGCAATTATGGGGATATTGCAAGCCAATATTTTTTGGTTAGTTCATCCTCAAATTAAATGGAGATGATGCAGCCTTTTCCCAGCAGAAAAACATCGGGGCTAATTATCCTGAACACTGCAAAACAAATGCTGCTAACTGCTACCCAGGGATTATACAGATCCAAGGTGTAACACAATATGTTCTATTAATCTATTTTAATGCTTGCTTTTCCTCTCCTACAGAACTCATGTGAAATTGATTTAAGCAGCAAAAATGAACCAAGATAAAAAAAAATGTTAGTTTTGAATTGGATAGCTATTCTTTCATGTATCATTAGTTTTAGAAAATTTAAAAGCAAGATTAATATAACAAATTTATTTTGGTCTGTACTTCTAATTTGATATGTTTTGGGGGCCATTTTGGAGATTAGGACATTATTGGTACATACTACTGGAATTTTTACATGTATTTGAATTTGTCCAAAATGGTGTAAGGGAATATTTTTCCTAACTGAACACCCGACATTAAACATGGTGAAAGGTTTATACAATAACACTGACTTTCTGTATTATTCCAATTTTAGTGTATGTTCTGCCAAAGCCAGTATACTGACTGACTTTCTATGACTCTGCAACCTCTTAAAGTACCTTAATATTTTGGAACCAGTGTAATGCACCACAGGCATCCCCTATGGGTGCTGGTTCAGGTTCTAGCTACTCTACTCCCAGTCTTGCCGTCTGTCAACGTGCCTGGGAAAGCAGTCGCATATGGTCCAAGGACCTAGACCCCTGCATTCAGATGGGAGACCAGGAAGAAGCCCCTGGTTCCTGGCTATCCACTGGCTAAGAACCAGCCATTGTGGACCTTTGGGGAGTTAACCCTTAGAAGGAAGATCTCCCTATTTTTCTCTGTGTTTCTGCCTCTCTGTAACTGTGCCTTCCAAGTAATAAATTAAGCAAGCACTTGGTATTTTAAACTTCATTCAGTAAAACTGAGAAAAAAAACCTGATGAAGATATAAATCCTAATTTATTACCTAGGAAGATTAAATTGTACTCTGAGTGTTGGAGTCTGATGGGAAGGCAAGAAAGAGACTGTGAAAAGGCCTGTCCACTCTGGATTTTCTTCATGAGTACCACCAGCCTCTCCCATTTGTTGTTTTACTTCTTCCTACACAATAACCCATCACAGCCTTTTAAATATGTGTTCCTTTTCTTCTCCTAGAATGAAATCCCATAAGCCATTTTCACCAGGGGATTGTGAAGATCCTGACAAGCAGCTGGCCTTGTTTCGCATCATTATTTTACTTCAGTACACAAGAATTGGGTAGAAGTCACAGTCAGTGGAGCATATGTATATTTTTTTTGGATGACTAGGGGAAAGGACCAAAGAGGAAGAGGAGGGTGTTGGAAACTGCTTCGCTTCTTCCATTCTGATTAGAAAATAAGCCACATAAAAAAATGAGGGATAATAATAAGACTGATATTTCAGTGGCCAAGGAAATATCTGAAATTAGAAGGTAGGAGCTCAAAGGGGGAACAGTTTTCCATTCAGGACGGAAGATAAAGTAAGGCACAGCTCCCTTGATCTACCAGTTCTAGCACTTGTTTCCACACCGTGTGGGTGGAGTTATGCCACACTTCTAGATAACAATTCTGAGACATTGTGCCTCTTGGTGCCATACTGTGAATGTGTACTGCAGTGAAGCAGAAAAATAGATTTGGGGGGGGGACGTTGAGAGGGAGGTTAGGAATGGAGAACAACTTCACAGAGAAAGCTGTGCTATGTGCAGACCCCAGTAGACTCAGCTGATCCTTACTCTCCCGACAGAAACCTAGCATTCGTGAATCATCAGAGGGAAGATCTTCCTCTCTGTCTTTCCTCCTCTCTGTATATCTGACTTTGCAATACAAAATAAATCTTTAAAAAAAAAAGAGGAAGAAAACCAACATTGAGGCAGTTCTTACGCATCAGCCAGGAGTGGGGTCTCAAAATGTTGTTCCTACAATTTTGAGGAATATGTGAGAAAGGAACCCTCCCACTAAGATGGGCTCACAAAGTAGGAATTTTAAATCAATAATTGAAATAGCTACAATCAGCTCAATATTTAGAAATACTAGGAAGGAGGGATAGAAAAATCATTTTTAGTTACCAAGTATGGAATGGGTACAAGGGGGGAGGAAAATCGTTGTTAATTTGTGTTTATTCCCAGGTCAACACAGATATTTCAGACTCTGCTTTGCCAGGAAAAGGTACCCAAGGAATGTAGCTAATGTGCCGGCTGAAATCAACTCTTGTAATAGAAATACACTGAAGAAATATATTGCCCCATCTAATGTAACAAATCTAATTTTGACCATTTACCAGAAGTGAAGAGACATTCCAGATGTAATGGGAAGTAGTAGTATTCAACTCTTACATTCAACATTTGATATAAAAATAGAGGTGAATTATCAATTTAAGTGCAGTACTACTTTTTAAGTTTCACAGTGATTTATTAGTACAATATTGGTGAACTGTTTGATTAGTCACACCTGTTATCACCAGTACCTAAAGGACTGTGCAGAAAAATGTGCAATCCAAAGAAATGGGAGCCCACCTTGCTCCAGTAATAGTATGTTTCAAAAATTTACACGCGGTGCTATGCGATCAGATCTGTTGCCTCTTTGACATATTCTCTTGCCAGAGTGAATTTTAACCAAGTCATTTTTTGTCTCAAATATTATTATTTAGGTTATACCGCTTAACATCTTCCTTTTCATTTCTGTATATTCTCAAACAGCAAATCAAGACCTCTCATTTCCTTTCCTTCATTTTGTATTTGTGCCCCTGTTTTGCCCCCAAAACAACAGATCAGAAACCAGTCCAACTGGTTGGGAACATGGGTGGGAAAAACAGAACTAAATCCCGACTAGTACAAAATATCCCAGACAATGAAACTACCAGGAGAAGACACTAAGCCAGAAGCTCACTGCCTTGCTTAACCAACCCCGAAAGAGCCCCATGCCTACCTGATGCCACAGAGAGGGCGATGGTGAGTGTCAGCAGCAGCCCTGGCCCCATGCCGGTGCTTCCAGAAGCTCCTTGCATGCCCTTCTTCACTCTCAGACCTGTGCGGCTCATCTGCCCCTGTCTCCTCTCAAGTGAGACACAGTGAAACTCCCTGCTTCACTCTTGCCTGGGCTTCAGGAAGTGTTTACCAAAGGTGTTACTCAACCTGCAGGCTGTGGTCCTGCAGCAGTGGCACGGCAGGCGGAAATCCCAGCCACCTCCTGCCTCTCAGGTTTCTTTATCATAAACTGCTGGGATTTTTTTTTTTCTTTCCTTCTGTGTACTCCCTTACTCCAAAGTAGCAGTCCTCCACTATATGACTAAAGCTCAGTAAGTCACAGAGAGCCAGCTGGGGTGAGTGTCTGAACAAATATGCCCTCTATTTATCAGCCATCCTGGGTGTGTTATATATGCAATATATATGTGCAAGTCTGTATATACCCTTATACACATGTGGTTTCATAAATCGATTTCTAATTATCTTAGGTTTTGTTCCAGCACGGCGAGGCTCCCGGGGCTCCTAAAGCATGCTGAAATAAAAATCTCTGATAGACAAAAGCGGCAGCAGCCTTTCAGGCCCTCGGGGATATCCGTGTATTGTAACTGAGAACCAGAGAAAGGGAAAAGGCCTTCAAGACCCAACGTAGGAAATCTCCAAAGAAATTTCAGGATCTGTCACTGTGTTCCTGAGACTCAACTGTCAAGGCCCAGGACTCACACTGCAACTAACAAAATAGCTAATAATAAACGGCCTGCTTACTAAATGTAGGTAGTTCCCCAGCCTAGTATGCTTGTAATCATAATGATTCTTTTGACACTTCTGTGTTATAAATATCATTTCTCTCCTGTTTTGTAGATGGAAAAACTTGCGTTTAAAAAGATTTTAAAAATTCAAAAGATAAGGAGTCAGTGGTATTTTCTGTATGGATTGTATGGATTTACAAGATTAAGCAGCTTGCTCAACTCATTCTAGCAAAGGGCAGAAACAGAATCTGTATCAAGCGTAGCCTGAGGACTCAGTCATTTTCTCCAATGCTTCCCCACTGCTTCAGCTGACTGATACATCCATTCTTATTCTTACTGATAAAATTAGTCTGAAATAGAAATGACTGCAAGAATAAGGTATTACTATAAGCTGCGTCTATGGTCAGCAAAACTGCATCCCATCTCCTCTGAAGCACATTCTCACAACAGAGTTATTTCAATGGAAAGAACTACTTCTCATGCTCATGAAAGCAAGGGCCAACAACCAAAGTGGAATTCCAAATCTAGTTACTGAACATTTCAAACATCAGGACTAAAACTTCTATACATTTCTTGCCTTTTCCACCCAACCTCAATGGCTTTGTCTTTCAAAAATAACAATAGAGACACATCTTTTAATTATTACATATGGTGTGTCCATTAATTCAACGCATGTGGATTTCAAATTTTTTTGTACTGCAATAAATTCCTTTTTTTCATTTTACTTGGATATTTTAAAATAGCCCTAGATGCATGGTTATTGGACTCGTCTTTGGAGTGGAGGAACCAGGAACCCAGAAGTAAAAGGATGAAGGAAAGGAAACAAAGGCCCAGCTGGGGCAATTGCCTAAGATTCACAGATTGGATCTGATTAAACAGATGTAATTGCTGTGTTGTCTTTCCTATTTATTTTATTCTAAGACTTAAAAGTAATATTTAAAGTAACGATTTCAAACCATTAATTTATAAGAATGAAGTATCTGGTCTTAAAAACTTTTTAGGATGGGCAAGGATGGAAGCAACAGAAGAACCTCCAGGAGACACTGCTTCAGCTACACAACCAAGACAGCAACCCTCCCAAGGCCTCCACTCACTAAGGGTAGTTGAGGGAGCTGCACATGAGTAAGATTATAACCTGTCTTAGGGGACTTCACAAGCATCTCCTTCCCTCCCTGAATCTTCACTCTTCTTTCCCCAGTTGGATTATTCCAAAGAATACCTCATAAAATAAACAGCCAATGGGGTTGGTTCTCAGGACTGCCAATGGAAGAAAATAATTTAGACCCTATCTGCTATCTCCAGATTCAGGCCAAGGGGAAAGAAGGAAACCAGTGACTGATCGGATACTAAAATGGGTATGTTGGTTTGCACTGACACTCGCCAATCTGCAGAACACGTTGGAGAAGGACGGATCACCCAAGAGAATGGGTCCTTTCTGAGTTCTCTGACCACTGTAAGAGATTACAGTGCATTAGATTCTTGAGTCATGTTTTATTTCACTACAATATTATTCTTGAAATTGGTCCTTTTTAAGTAGCTAATAACTGAATGTGAAGATTGGGCAAGTTATAAAGAAAGGAGCTTTGTCTAGCTCACAGTTCTGGGGGTTCTGAGGACTGTCCCTGCTGAAAGCCTTGTGGCTAGCACGGCTGAGGCAGAAGAGGCAGCATGCACGCACTTTTGCCTCTATATCCTCTGCTCTCCCTCCTGTTTCTTTTAAAGTCAATGATAGGGTACCACCTGATGAACACCTCCCAAGGGATCTGCCTCTAAACACTGGAATAGCTCTGGATGTAACAGGGATGGGATTTAAACACGCAGATCCAAGCCTGGCACTATGCTCTGAGAACTGCCCCTGGAACAGAGAAACACCATTTGCTCAACCCAGTGGCAGTCAGTGAATGCTGAAGCACATATTTGTTTTCCAAGAACCCAAAAATACCCTAAAATGGAGTCAGCATTGGCTTTTATGAAACCTAGGCTCTATCATGACTGACTGAATTCCTTCTTGCTGCTCTACACACACGTCATATGTGTGTTGAAAATGTATATGATCATGCTTTATTTACACCTAGAATAACACAATAAACAAAATGCAAACTTAGAGTTTGAGATTAATGTCCAAAGTAGATTAATTTCAAAGTTAAGATTTTAGCATATTTTCTTATATTGTAAATAAATACTTGAACCTCCAAGTATCTTCCTAATGAAGATATCTGGAAAAAAAAGAGTGGCCTTAATGCATCAAGATGACATTAGTGATAGAAGATAAAGCTGAAAACTTACAAAATATGAAGATGAGTATATGAATTATTACAAAAATAGTCAAATATTAGTTCATAAATCTATAAGCTCCCATATTTTATAAAGCTGAACTATTCTATTAGAGCAAAACTGAGGAAATAAAGTTATATATAAAATGAAACTAAATACAAACTTTAGAAACCTACTTGAGAACAAAACAAAACAAATCCTAATATATTTAAAGAAGCTATTCTTGTGTGGTGGGAATAAAAGTAGTTTTATCATTTATGCTATGTTAAATTTAAACAGCCATCAGTATTTTATAGTTTAACAATTATGCAAAAATAAACATGAAGGAGTAAATATTGTACAAAAGTACTCAGACAAGTTTTCCTGTCCTACGCTGATAACTCTCTTTAGGACATGGCAGTTATTGTTAAATCCTCAAGACTTCAACACAGGGCCTAGACGATAGTAGCTACTGAACCAACATTTACACACCAAACTAATGACTGAGTGAGAAAGGATCATTCTTCATAAAGCAAACAAGCCCTTGAAACCACAAGTCAGGCTTGGTGATCTTCAGAGAAGGAGAAAGAGTAACCTCCAGGTCTTTTGTGAACAACCAGTTTAAAGTCTAGGGCTTACTATTTTAAATTATCATGTTCCCACCTGTGGTAACGCATAGTGTGATCCAAAGAAAAGCCAGGAATTTGTTTTTAAGCTTGGTAAACACATTTTCACAAAAGAATGGCAAAGGATTTGAGTATCACCTTCCCATTACTATGTTTATATAAGGTCTGTTTTCTTGAGTAGGTATTGATGTAATGATCAAAAACTGCTCTAATCCTGAATTGTTAGCATGTCTTTAAGACATAATCTAGCAGATGCTTGGGACATGAAGGGATCTTTCCTCTTATCACACTGCATCTAAGTTTAAAAGCAATGAATAATCTGATCAAAGTGGATGTACCAATTGCCTAATCTAATTCAAGCAAAGCCTTATAGATCCAAACAGAATGAGGACAGTTATTTCCTATCTTTATACATGTCGTTCTATGATTTCTGTACTCTTTACACTGACTCTTGCTCCCATATGATGTAAGGACGGAAATGATAAGCTAGTATGTGTGTCTTGACATGTCAGGAAAATTTAGGTGGGTCTGGAATGTCTCCCCCAAATCCTATTCTTCATTCTGCTGTCATGGGTAAAATCTTCTCAAATAGCTCTCATTACACAGCCCAGGCACAGTTCCTGCTTAGCCCTGAGTAGTGAGCTTCAGTTCTCACATACAGAATTGCTCCTGTGAGCCAATCACATACATACACAGGAAACAGCAGGCACCTCGCCCATTTAATACTACAATGTCTGCCAAATTGGCTCAAATGGCTAATTCTCCCCTTCCAAGTGTCGCATCCTGGCTGTTCCACTTGGGATCCAGCTCCCTGCTTATGGCCTGGGAAGGCTGTGGAAGATGGCTCAATGCCTTAGAACCCCTACCCATGTAGGAGGCCTGGAAAAAGCTTCTGGCTTCTAGCTCAGCTCCACCCTTTGCAGCCATTTGGGCAGTGAACCAATGAACAGAAGACCTCTGTCTTTCCTTCTCTCTGTAAATTGTTTTTTCTAATAAAAATAAGTGTATCTTCAAAAAATACTACAAAGTCCAAGTCCTATAACTCTGACTGTTCACTGTGCTCAAGAGCAAGGCTAATGTGCCTCTGCATGATATATGGCGTCCTCTTTCTCTGTACTGTGAGAATTTGTGGCATAAACTGTCATCAATATCATCTGCCAAGTCCATGTGTCATTGTGTTCAGCCATGCCACAACCCTATGATGGGAATCCCTCTCTCACAACAGGAAAACAAATAAAACCAAGATATCCTGACACATGCACATGTACACCTGCAGAGGCAGCGATCTCTTTCTATTGGCTGTGCATCATGTTTGACTTCACAGGTGGACTTTCCACAGAGAAATCTCAATTCTCCCATTTATAAATCATAGTGCAAAGAGGTTTAGGT